CGGCGCCGTTGGTCACCTTCGCCCGGACTGAGACCTCGGGCCTCGGCGCCCTGGCCCGGTGACAGCGAGCGAGCTGCACACCTGCGACCTTCCCTGAGGTGGAGGAACCGGGAGTGAGGTCTGCGTCGGGCTGCCGGGGGCGGCGTGGTTAGTTCGTAACCGCTGCCCAGGAGGGGAGGCGGTCGGTGAGTTCGCGCCTTGGGGGCCTCGGCCTGCAGCTCAGGCGCTAACGCTGTGTGCTTGAGAAATGGTTCAGCGCCGGCGGGAGTTTCGTGAGTGAGGCTGCGGAGACCTGACCCTCGCAGGAATTAAATAAGTAAATGACTCGGTGGCAAGGTGTTCCGGGCAGCGGTGACATCTTTCGCTTCAGGGAAACCTTGGGTTGGTTGATTTGTGGGTACTTAGGATGTACCTAGGAGTTTACACGAAGAGGGAGAAGTGACTTGAACCGGGTGTCTTGAGCCGTGCTAAGTATTTCGGGCTGTTAGGGATTCACAGCAAGAGGACATAGTCACAGTGCGTGTCTAGTGTGTCCCTTCAACAGCCAGTACTGGGCAAGAGGGTGGGGGTGACAGACTTCCCTAGGAAACTCCCAGGAGAGGAGGGGTCTGAGCCCCCTCCCTCTTCCCAGCCTGGACTTCAGCGTTCTCTTATGTAAGTTTTTGACCATCTTTCAAAATATTCTTTGGAGCATGCGGATTTTTAGACTCCCTTTCCTATCACAGGAATTCTGTTATTGACACAGTGTTTTTATTCTTTTAGAGAAGAACTTGGAGAAGCTACCCAGGTTTACTGGAAAACTGACAATAATGCTATTTATCAAGTTGATGGGAGTAAATCCTTCAATTTTGGTAAGCTTATAGTAGCATCAAGAGTTAGCCTATTATTCTTTTACTATTAAGAGTACAAAAGGGGGCCGGGGATTTAGCTCATCGGTTCGGTGGCCTGCCTTACAAGCGCAAGGACCCGAGTTCAATCCCCGGTACCAAAAAAAAAAAAGAGTACGAAAGGGATATCAATAAGCCAGGCATGGTGGTACACACCTGTAATTCTAACACTCAGGAGGCTGAAGCAGGAGAAACGCCCTGAATTAAAGATACCGCCACAGAGAGTTCAAGATCTGCCTGAGGGTCCAAAAAAAAAAAGAGTACGAAAGGGATATCAATAAGCCAGGCATGGTGGTACACACCTGTAATTCTAACACTCAGGAGGCTGAAGCAGGAGAAACGCCCTGAATTAAAGATACCGCCACAGAGAGTTCAAGATCTGCCTGAACTACATAGTGAGACCTTGATTTAAAAAAAAAAAAAAAAGGGACCAGGGATTTAGCTAAGTGGTTCTGCAGTCTGCCTCACAAGCACAAGGTCCCGAGTTTGATCCCCGGTACCAAAACAAAAAAAAAAAGTTAACAAAGGCATATCAATAATGCTAGACTTGTCATTAAAGGTCTGTTAACTGCTTCACTAGAAAAAAATTTGTTTATCCTCATATATGAGAAGATAATAAATTGATATTTAAAGCGGTTCTAACCATATTACCTTATGATTGAAACTAACATTTTCTCCTCATCCTTTAGGCCATTTGTGGTCTGAAGCTCTAAAATGTTTCACAGTGTCGATTCATCTTTGAGGTCTTTCTATTTATGATTCTGTAGTGATTTTGAATCAAATAGTAAATGGTACAGGTATTTCTCATTTGTCTGCTAGAATGTATCAGGGACGAGGTCAGCCTTTGTGGCCTTATGGGGTGGTGGGAGGAGAGGCATGGTGAGGAGAGGAGCTTTGTAGGAGCTCACGGTGAGGGATGTAACTTAGTCCCAGTGTCCTCAAGGAGCCACTCACAGGGTGGACTTGAGGCTACAGTTGACTGGGTTGATTTCATTGTTGAGCTAACTGTCCAAAGTGCTGACCACAGGTCAGATGCTGTTCTGAGCATTTTGTTTGCGTTAATTAACACACTCAGTCTTCCTGACAAATCTAGGTAGCAGCTACTATTATCTGCCCTTTTTTAAAGAGGAGCAGGGCCATGGGGCAGAGTTACACAACCAGCCAGAGGAAGAGCGAGGCTCTATCTGTGTTCCAGGTGCAGCTCCCTACCTGGGTCAGGGCAGCAAGGGGCAACAGTGTCCTCAGAAGCCAGTGCTCCTTTCATTTGGGAAGGGCACTTTCTGAAGTCAAAAAACTAAAGCAGATATTGTGTTATGTATTTTATCAGCTTAGATCCTAACTATGTTATTTCTTTGGATAATTACTAATTCAGAATGAAAAAACAGTTGATTTAACTTCTGCATTTTTTTTTCTTAGATCGTGTATTTCATAGTAATGAAACTACTAAAAATGTATATGAAGAAATAGCAGTGCCAATCATCGATTCTGCCATACAGGGTTACAATGGTTGGTATTCATTTTATGCTGCAAAAAAGATTTTATTCTCAGTCTGTGCAATGAGTGTTGTGAGTTATTTAGACACTATTGACTCAGTTTGAATCTTTGCATGTGTATGTTTTGTCTTTACAGGGACCATATTTGCCTATGGACAGACTGCTTCTGGAAAAACACATACTATGATGGGCTCGGAAGATTGTTTGGGCGTTATACCCAGGGCAATTCATGACATCTTCCAGAAAATTAAGAAGGTAATAACGTAGCTGATTCCTAGTGCACACAGGTAAAAGTAGTTATAATCAGGTAGAAATCTGAATGCTTTTCTCTTATAAAGCTGAACTGATTTGCACTCCTTTCTTGGCGCCCATGAAGAAGAGCAGGCATAGATTCAGTTATATCCCCACAGATGAACTTTATGGAGCTTAAAGTTCTCTCATTCATCTCTTGGATCCTGCAGCAGTAACACTTTCAACAAAAAGTGGGCGTTGAGTGCTGGGAAATCTTACCCAAATGGTTAGCTCCCAGCTGCTTTTGGTACTCAACCAGTGATTATTACAGAAAAATAAAAAGTAGATAAGAGGGAAGCAGAAGGCTAGAATATGCAACCTAATTAGGTAAGAGTTGGTAATGAAAATAAGCATATTCATTAAAATAAAAACATCTATTAACCAGGGTTTTATTTTGCATCTAGGGCTTTAGATTGTATGCTTTCTTATTTCATGGTAGTATACTTTTTATTTTTTCTGAAATGATACTTTTGTATTTTTGTGTTTATTACTGTCAAAACCATTGGTTTGATTTATGAAGATAATTTCCCGTTACTTTAATGTTAACGGATACATTCAATATGAAATATTCTTAATTGGATGCTTTTTGATGTTTTTATATATATTCTAGTTTCCTGAGAGAGAATTTCTCCTGCGTGTGTCTTACATGGAGATATACAATGAAACCATTACAGATTTACTCTGCAGTACTCAAAAAATGAAACCTTTGATAATTCGAGAAGACATCAATGTGAGTAATGGGATAAAAGTGGCTTTAAAACAGACTTCTTATTATTCTTCTCCATAATTTAAGTGTTTATAGAGCTCTGTCTTCAATGTGTATAATTTTTGAATACAGCTCTATTTTAGTTGAAGTGCCTAAGAAGAGCAAGATGGAAAGATGAGGTGGACTTTAGTGTGGTTTTAATGCAGGCAGTGGATTGTGGGTATTTGCAGATTTGTTTGCTATTTTTCTACAGGATAGTGATTCCACATTTTAACTTCCACAAGTGAGTTCTGCAATTGTATCTTCTTTTTTTGAAAGGTGTATTTTTGACTGTTTCTCTAATTTTTCCATAATTAAACTGGTTTCAGAGGAATGTGTACGTTGCTGATCTCACAGAAGAAGTGGTTTACACATCAGAAATGGCTTTGAACTGGATCACAAAGGGAGAAAGTAAGACTTTCCTTTCTTTAAGACACAACAGCTTTTTCCAATCACACTTGTTTTTATTGGGCTAAAGTTCAAATATTTTTCTTGGACTATAATATATATAGTTGAACTACAACTTATTTTTCAGAGAGCAGACATTATGGAGTAACAAAAATGAATCAAAGAAGCAGTCGTTCACATACCATTTTTAGGATGGTAAGTAATTACTCTTTCTACCTCTGATCTTTCCAAGTAGGAATACACTAGTTTTTACTAAAACTGCCCTTTCTGTCTAGATTTTGGAAAGCAGAGAGAAAGGTGAACCTTCTAACTGTGATGGCTCTATCAAGGTGTCCCATTTGGTAAGTGTTCCTGAACCGAAATAAGGCACCACTTGGGCCAAAACAAACTTTGCTTATTTCCTTTAATAAGAGCAGTTAACTAAGAAAAAAATATAAATTAGCAATTCACCTGGTCTCATCAGTAGCATCAGATTACTAGCTGAAATGTAGAAAGAGTTGGGGATCTTTCTTCCTGTCATGTCATCTCCTAAATTGTGCATATAAGGACTGTGGGAGTTCAGGCTTCTCTAATCCCCATTGAAGTAGGATAAATCTTAAAATGTAGGGAATTTTTTAACATCTCAACTAGTATAATTTAGCCTTGTGTGAGCAACAGAAAACCTTTAGGTACAATGACTAAACATAAAATTATTATTTAAGTTCTTAGGAACAGTAGGAAAATACACGTATTACAAACATTTTTTGTTTTCCTGCGTGCTAAGCAGCTGCTGTACCACAACCCACAGACGGCGCTCTAGACCCTGAGCCCCTGGGGGTGGTGTTGCTGCGCCCCGAGGCCCACGCATGGCACACACGGGTCCTGCTCAGGACACGTCTCCTGAACGTGTGTGCCTTCCTGACTCGCCCCACTCCTCTTCCTGCTATGTGGCCTCCTGTCCCCCTCATGCTGCACTGTATCACAGCTGTCCCTTGTTCTCTTCCTGCCCCTTCCCGTCATTAATGTAGTCCCCACGTTCAGGGCCAGATTCTTCAGCTGGTGTGGAATTTAAGACTCTCCTATTTGATTTGAAAACATCAGGGAAAAAAATTAATCTGTAATATGCTTTTTCATTTTCCAATTTTGTAAAATCAATTCTTAACTAATATCCAGTCTTATTTTGCTGTAAAGGTGTATCAGTTTTTTTAGTGGACTTTTTAAAAACCCAGCTTTTGTTTTTCAACTCTGGCCTGTGATACTTCACTGTAGTTTTGTCTTTTCTCTTGATAATTTCATTTTAATCCTCAGTTATTGGGTGAGCATTGATGATTTCTACTCTGTCCTCAGTGGTCCTTAGAGACCCTTGGCCCAGCCTTCAGCCTGTCCGACTATAGGAATCTGCACGAGGAAGTCAACCCCAGAGAAGCCCCATCCAGCCTACGGAGTACCCCTTCTCTGAGTGTTCCTTGGCTTGCGGGGTGCCAGTGTCCAGTTTCCCTCAGCTCTGCCTCTTCTAGCAGATCCTCACGAGTGCCGTGTGGCCCTCGGTCACCATTTCCGTGCCGGTGACCACCAGATACTTATTTCCTCTACAGTCTCTGGATTCTAATCCACAGCTCCCTGAAGGCTGCTGTAATTGCATATCCCACTGTTATCTCAAACTCCAGTCTATCCAAAACCAGATTTCTTCCTACCATGACAACTGTCCCTTTCTTCCAGTGAGCCAGCATCCTCCTGCCACACAGGCCAGACCCCTACGTGAACCATACTCATCATTTCTGTTTCCTCTGGGTGCTTGTCATGTTGCTTCCTGGCGCAGCTTGGTGCATCTCTGTGGGTGTCGCCTCCTTCAGACCCTCATATCCCTGGTGTCACTGCTTCTGTCTCTGGAACCTGTCCCTCAGCATGCTGCTCCTCCTTTCTTCAGGCCGTCACACAGTTTTCTGATACTCTGACCGCACTTTGGCAATGTCACCTTCCGGGACAAGCCCTGGAGGCCTTAACCGAGCTGACTCAGTTCCATCTCCTCTGTGTGGGCGCCTCTTGCAGACTGGCTCCCAGCTCCTTCCTGCCTGCCATCGCACCTGTACCTGTGCTGCCTCCACCCTTTCATTGAGTGTCTGAGTTGTCTCTAGTGGATGCTGGGCAACAGAAATTAGATTCTTTCCATGTGTTATAAAAGGAGACCTCTGAGAAAGGGCTGAAACTTTTGGAAATTAAGCACCTGCCTGAAGATTCCCCAGAGAAGTGGCTGACAGCCCTGGGTCTTGCAGTGCCTTCAGAACTGGCGCTTTCCCAGTCTCTGAGCTGGGCCTGTGCTTAGAAGATGCCTCAGCCTCCCTCCCAAACCTCCCCTCTAGGGCCCTCCTCGCCATGTTGCCCTGTGGCCCACACCCTACACAGCCCCCTGTCTGGCTGCCTGCAACCCCCGCCCTCCTCCAACTCCCCTCAACCAGGCACAGCTGAGCCGCAGACAGTCGCCTCACGTGTGTCCCTGCCCCCGGGTGAGGCCCTCCGGCCAGGGCTTCCTGATGCATTTAGGACAGTTCTCCATCACCCTGGCTTGTCCTGGCTCCTGCTCCCTGGCTGTCACCCTGACCTTTCTGTCTTTGAGTGCACTTGGGGTGTTCTGCTTTGAGACCTGGTGCCTGAGCTGTTCTTCGGTCTGAATACAGTTTGCCTTGATCTTTCCATAACTGGCTCCCTCTTCCCTATCATTCTTGTCTTATTTGAAGGACGAGCCTTTTTGTCATCCAGTTCAAAAAACATGATCTGTCTTTCCCAGCTCTCTGTTCCGATCTCTCTGTTACTTTTGTCATGACACGTCTCTCGTGTACCTTTTTCTCTCCTCTCAGCAGCCTTCTTTGGGGAGGACATGCAGAATCTGTGAGAGCAGAGGCCTTATTTGCATGGTTCTCTGCTGTCACCAGAACCTGATGGACTGTCTGTAGTATCACAAGCAGTCACTTTTTCCAGTAGTATTGTTGAAATGAGAGATCCATAGTGTAATGAGGGCCACACACAACAGAACCCATGCTCTGAGAATAAGTTCCATCCATGAAGAGCTCTGGGTGGGCAGTGGGTGATTAGTGATTCACGCACAGTGGGGGAGGAAGGGGAAGCTGACAGAGCCCCCTGGAAGGTGACCTTTACCTGGTCCTTGAGTGGAGCGAGGAACAGTGGAACCAGCAGAAGCCGCTGCCTCTGGTACCAGGTTACAAAGGGTTGTAAAGTCCAGACTATGCTGGTAATGCTATAGATACCTGAAAGGAGGGAGGTGAGAGGAACAGGGTGCCAGTGTGTGAGTGGGAGCCAGGACACAGCTACTCTCAGGCCATGTACTAAACCTGTTCTTTCAGTAGCTTGGTCCTACTAATTACCGTCCTAAGCGTTTACTCTCTTCCTACAGAATCTGGTTGATCTTGCAGGCAGTGAAAGAGCTGCTCAAACAGGAGCTGAAGGTAAACAGAACTCAGGAAACACATTAGTGTCTCTGTCCTCGCACTGTATGGGATAAAACCTGCTACTGAGCATCTTTAAAATGAGTAAAGCAGTACTAATTTCCAATACAACCCTAACATAAACACCAGTGTCTGTATCTAATTTACCTAGGGCATCTATTGAACTAAAACTGGGCTCTTAATAGGATGGTATAGCTGGGAAGTCCATGAGAATCCTAGAAAAGCAGTCTAAGCTTTCATATTCAGCAAGGAAATTGAGGAAAGTAGTGGGAGGCATCTTTCAGTACCAGCATTCTGATCCTGGGGTCCTTCTCACCTGTCCGTGTTCCTGACATCTTAACCCTTTCCAACGGTGTGGCCTGATCCCAATAAAGATGCTGGGTGAGTGGTAAGCCAAGAAAGGAAAACGCAGTAATTGGCATCACTCCATAGTTGGGAGTCCACGGGTACCTGTGTATAATTATTCAGGAAAAGGCAGATCTAAACTGAGGAGTAGATGAGGGGCTCCATAGGGGAACAGGCTTTCCCTCCCTCCCTGTGCTGTTTCTCTCAGGTAATAACCTTTCAGGTTCACGTAATAGGCACAGGAAGAGAATTCCTGCCAGTCAGACTAAAGCAGTGTTCAGGCCCAACCAGAACAAACACTTTCCCATCTCCGCCTTCGTGTCTAATGTCTCTCATAACTTCACAGATAAGTTTATCATTTCATGTAGTGGTCGGTTTTCATGGTGGTCTAATATATATATCCAGGTGTGCGACTCAAGGAAGGCTGTAATATAAACCGAAGCTTGTTTATTTTGGGACAAGTTATCAAGAAACTAAGCGATGGACAGTTTGGGTAAGTTTATCCCATTGGCCTTATTGCTTATGTTTTTCACTGGGTTAAAAATGAACACTCAAATGTTTTCTGTCACATGCACCCAAAAGCTTTGGGATTCTCTGAGCATACCTTCTTGTATGACTGTAACCTCAATTGACTATTTTTAATATTTTCATTATTTTGATCTGTCTCATAACCTGTAAAGAATTAGTTTTTAAAATTGACTAAGTGCTCTGCACTAAAAAACATCCACTTTGTTATACACAATTCTCACGTCTCTTTCTCCCCAAACTCTTTTGCATGCTAAGTGGTTTCATAAATTACCGAGACAGCAAATTAACTCGAATTCTCCAAAATTCCCTGGGAGGAAATGCAAAAACACGCATCATCTGCACAATCACTCCGGTGTCTTTTGATGAAACCCTGACCACTCTGCAGGTGAGTTGGATTCTTATCTCAGCCCAGTATGGGGAAAGAGCAGCTCTGAGGAGAAAAGATCACTGACTTTAATTATATACAGTTTCTTTGATATTGAGATGCACCTGTTGTAATAAAATTCATACAGTTTTCTACTGAAGAGCCTTCCTTCATTTAATCTTCCCAGACTTCAGTCATTTGAATCCCACCTCCACAATTTTTACCATAACTCACTTTATAAACTTAATTTAAAATAAAATCAAACTTTATATTACATAAATGAAAAACTAGTACTGCCACAAATAGGAAATAACAAAAAAAGTCGTATATTTTATCATTCTAAAATGTCTGGTAGCTAATAGATCCCTGCCTTTGCTGTGATCCAAGTGCTGCATTTTCTGTTTATGGGCGAGCTTTGTCAGCGGAGGGCCCAGTGTTATGTTAGGAATGGCTCCCCTGGTGTGCCCACGCAGGTGGTGCTGGTGCTCGGCCTGGGAAGCACCGATCAGCTGCTGCCCTGGGTCGAGGCACTGCCAGTGCTGCAGAGCTGGAAAGTCAAGTCCCTGGCTCCTCTGGAGTCTCACCTCCAGCTTGATAGCTTGGAGCAGTGTGAAGTGGGATGGCGTTCAGAGGGGAGGGAAGTGCTTCCAGCCGGAAGTGGTACTCAGTCGGGTGGACATCCTGTGGTGGGCGGGACTCCGCAGAGCGGTGTGTGGGACCCGTGTCTCGGCCGTCTCCAAGGTGTGGTCTCAGCCCTCTGGAAGACTGCCAGGCTTAGTGGGTTGCAGAGAGTCATTAGAAAACTTTGAAGTCGCCCTATTAAGCTTACTGGGAACAGTATTGTTCTCTTTCATTTAATTTTATTTTTAAAGAAAATTTGTTGCAAGAAACCTAAAAGTTATTAATTGTTAGAAATTTTTAGAATTACACTTTTGTATGTTTTTCCTAGTTTGCTAGCACTGCTAAATATATGAAGAATACTCCTTATGTCAATGAGGTGTCAAGTGATGAAGCGCTCCTGAAAAGATACAGAAAAGAAATAGTGGACCTCAAAAAGCAACTGGAGGAGGTGAGTGCAAACGCTTTATTTTCAAAGAGCCCAGTTTGGAGTGACGGAGATCTGCCCAAGAACTCTCAGTTCAGGAACACCTGAGTTGCTACAGCTTAAGTTTAAAACAAATGGGTTTTAACTAAGAAGAAATAATTTATAATAATTTAGTTTATTCTGTAAACAGAAAGGGTTGATCTCTTGAAATTTAGATTTTATTCTTTATTTCTAAAAGAAGAATTGAGATGTTTTTCCAAATGAACCAAGTAAAAATACTTTTTCAAAAAAATTCACAAGTGCATATTGAGTTAGTTTAGAAAGAGAAATGTATAGTTATTTAAAACTATCTTCTATTTTTTCACATCCCCTAAATTCTTCTTCTGACCATAAGGTAGCAATCTAATAATAAAGTATAGTCCTGCTATTCTTAATTGGTTTCTTTTAATCATTATGGTCCCATACTTTGTAAAAATCTTTCATTTTATTGGTCTTTTTAAAAGTGAGCTAAAATGTCAAACAGTAATCTCATAGGACAGCATCTCCATCTTTGCCTGTGCTATTGAAACCTCCGCTCTCTCAACTGCCCTGCCTGTTACTCATGTTTCTTAGGCTACCAATAGAATTGTCTTAGTAACATTGTCTACATGATATAAGGAGTAGTGATGAGAAGAAATATGTTTGAGAAGTGATTGATGACAGTTATGGCATGTGGGGTCCTACATGGAGGTATATTTTCAGTGAAATTAAAATCAAATCACATGCAAATTTAATATTCTGTTCTTTAAGCTGCTTTCAAGGTTTGAAAACCTAGCTACATTTATTATTAACATACCCCAATATTACATGCGGTAGGTAAATATAAAGACTCGGGCCCAGGAAATGGAAAAGGACCAGTTGGCCCAGCTTTTGGATGAAAAAGATTCACTTCAAAAAGTACAGGATGAAAAGATTCAGAACTTAACCCGGATGCTGGTGACCTCTTCTTCTCTCACATCACAACAAGAATTAAAGGTAAAATGTAGGAGGTGGGAGCTTGAACTTGGCATGTAGAGAACAGAACGGGGTTTATTGTGTGCTTAATGCTAGCTGTCTTTTCATACAGAGGATCCAGGACAGCCAGGACATGTGGTGTGTACACTGCCAGGTGGGTGGGGTGAGAAGCAGGAGAAAGCAGGGTCCCTCACAGGGCGAGGAAGGAGTGGGTTCATCGTGAGGAAAGGCAAAAGGAAGTGCCAGCTACAGCCACGTAAGCAGTCGGAAGTTTGTCTTTTTCCAAAGGCAAAAGCAAACAGACTTGAGTACGAAGCTGGGAGGAGGGAGTGGTGGAGAGATGCCCGAGGTCACAGACCCAGGAGAAAACAACAGGGCAAGAGCAGGCACACTGGTGGGCACCACTTCCCAGCTCACTGGGAGATTGGTACCGGGGGACCCTGGAAAAGTGTGTTTCCAGAGGGAGTCACACAGGTGCCCTGGGCATGGCTTCCTGTCTCCTCCCCACCAGCACCGCAGGTACCCGGGGTGTGGTGGGGTGATTGCCCCTCATGACACCAGAGTTCTCAAAGGGTTGCGAGTTGACGAGGAACCCTCTCATAAGTCCTAGAAACTCTTGTAATTTAGAGGCTGAGAGTACAGCTCAGTGCCTTCTGAGGTGCTGGCTTCAGTCGCCAGCAACAAAAACAAAATAAGAACAGTGGTTCCATCAGATTTGTTATGGTGTCAAACACTGATGTGAGAAATGTGACCGTCTTCTTGTATCTTAGAATGTCCTTCAACTAGGAAGACAGTCGATGGTTTTAAAAAATAGTAGCTAGTTTCCTGTTTTCTTCTGTGGGAACTCCAATCTAGGTAATTTTGTTTTTTGTTCCTTGGGGTTTTTTGTTTTATTTTGTTTTTTAGGCTAAAAGAAAACGAAGAGTCACTTGGTGCTTTGGCAAAATTAACAAAATGAAGGAGTCAAACTATGTAAACGAATTTAGTATGCCAGCAAATGTGACAACAAGGACACACAGGAGCGCCGTCACCCTTTTGGGGGAAATTGATGAGTGTGAGCACCTTTCCATGCCTACCGATGAGGGCTCCTGACAACCGCGCAACTCACTGTGATAAAGATGTTGGAATAAAATGCATTGTAGGGCTGCAACGGAGGTTATAATTTAAAAACAAGTAATTTTTAAAAATAAACTTGCGTGGAATTTTATAAGAATTCCAGCTCCCTCAAGAATGATACACTAGTTGTAATGCATGAGGAAGATATTTTTGTTTATTATTCGATTATTATTCATTTAAATTAGTAGAGTATTCATATAACACACTTTAAACTTTGCCCATCTTTGGAGGATGGTGTTTATGTAGAAATCTGTTTTAAAATTATACCTCAAGCAGTATAATCTTTTTTTTAGGGGCATTTTTAAATTTACGTAGTCATCAAATTTCAGATTTGGAATTTGTCCTTTTTACCTCTGTCGTGATAAAAATCCCTTGTTTTGTCACTGGTCTTAATGCACACAGCGCTGCCATGTCCATTGACCTGTGTTCTTGGCGTTCACACTGAGGACATGCTAATGCGAGCTGCTTATTACCTCTGTCACATTTTTTTAATAATAATGCTTATTGACTTATAAGGAGTGTTATGCATGTTAACGTACGCATTTCTTTTCCCCCTCATTGTAGCTCTCTGTGTGGAGTCTGATTTCTTCAGCGGTACTCTTGATACGTTAACTGAGATCGAGTGGAATTCAGCGACAAAGCTACTAAATGAGGTAACGTCTCTTTCAGAACATGACCCTGTGTTGGTTTTTGTGGTTGTCGCTCGTCTCTGGCTTTGACTCAATAGCAGTGTGGGCTCTGATGAAGATTTCCCCCACCTTTCTGTCTTCTAGTTGAAAACTAAGACGTTTAGAGGGAGGCTAAGATGTTTATAGGGCAGGCATGCACCAATAAGTAAACGTTTGCTTCTAGTTCTTTACCAGCAGACCTTAGTATCTTCCTGGTTTGCTTGGGGGTAAAAGATTAATTTAGAAGCATCAGTATTCCCAGGCGTAACTCCAAGAGTGATGGATACACCAGAGGCTCGTGTTGCTGGATGATACTGGGAAATAAAGGTCAATGCATCGTTCGTTGTCCCGCTGCTTCCTTAGGCCATTGGCGCTACGACCCCCCAGGTGCCCAGGCCCATAGATGCCCAGTCCCCACGTGGAAGGTGTGACTCACATTTGCACATAACCCGTGCCCACCCTGCACTGAGACCAGCTCTAGGTTACTGGTCACCCCGACAGCGGAACTGTCGCGCACTACCTAATTACACTGCATTCTTTAGGGAAGGGTGAGAGGGAGAAAGGTCTGCATTGAAGGATTGATGCAACCACTGTGGGCTGGCCACGCTTTCTGAGGTTGGTCACATCCACGCATGAGGAGCCACAGGGACAGAGGGCTCAGCAGAGTCCGCAGAGCCGGAGAAAAGGGTGCTGTGGGCCCTGCTTCAGTCAGCGTCTAGGGTCACTCCAGATTGCTCATGTTCATGACATCGTATTCTTGTGTGCATGTGTTTGTCAAAGAAAACATAGTTTTAATTTGGAAAACAATCATACTTCCTGGTAATTAGTATCATTGGTTAGTACAGGCAAAATGCTTTTGTATCCCTGAGTCATATTCTAGGAGTTTGTTATCTCTTTTATTATTATTCCCAAATTAAGCTGTGTTTTTTTAATCTCTTTCCCATAATGGTATAAAAAACTTACCCCATTAGAGAAACAGCCCAATTGCCCATCAGTTGGAGATTGGATAAAGAAGATGTGGTTTTTCTATAAAACGGAATACTACTCAGCCATAAAAAATGGGAAACTAGAATCATTCATGGGAAGTTGGATGCATATTGAGGCCATACTCTTTAAGCGAAATAAATAAGACACGTGTAAATACTGAATACTTTCTCTGGTGCAAAAAACTAAAAATGTAAATAAGATCCAAATTGTGTAATTCACAATGTGAAATAGGAAGAAAGGGGCTAAAGGTGTAGGGGAAGTGGAAATGGTAGGGGAAAGGAAAGAAGGGAAAAGAAAAAATATGAGAAAAGGAAAAAATGGAAACAAAGTCTTTGTAAATAAGGGAGGGTGGAAGGGGTGAAGGGAAGGCAGGGGTGTGGGGAAAAATGAGAACCAGGATCTGTCATGTAAGGTACAAGAGCCCAGTGACGAATGCAGCTGTACTGTATACTTTAAAAAGTACCAATAAACTCAATAAGATTTTTTAGAGACTGAGAGAGCAGGCATAGTATCGTGCTTCCTTCCTGAATTAACTCATCAGAAAAGTAAAATAGTCAAACACATGAGCCGTTACATAATCAGCCTTAACACTCAGGCTGAAGGGTTCGTGGTCACGTGGGCTCCCGCTGGTTACCTTCCCACTGGGGCTTTCCCTGAATGCAGAGGCACGTGTATTATTTATATCATCTTTATTTTACTGCTTTCAAAATGAACATCTGTTCTGTCTAAGGTCGGTAGTTTACCAAAACGTAGACTGTTAGAAAGGTTGAAGACGGGAAGCCACCAATGGTTCAAAGGTATATTCATTATGAATTTAAAGAAAAGACCGTGTGGTATGAATCTCTTCTGATTGAAAAACGTGTTTTTGTTTATAATAGGAAAACATAGAGAGTGAGTTCAACTCTCTTCGTGCTAAATATGATAATCTAGTATTGGACTATGAACAACTACGAAGAGAAAATGAAGAAATGGGATTAAAATTAAAAGAAAAAAATGATTTGGATGAATTTGAGGCTCTAGAAAGAAAAACTGGAAAAGATCAAGAGGTAAGACAAATAGAGATGTCAAATTAAACTAAATCCATACCTTAAAAAGATACACCGTTCTCTGAAAGGTTTTTATTTCCAAGATTGAGATATTAAGGATTAACCCTTTTTTCTATGGATGCACAATGTAGAGAATTTAAGAAATATATATTTAGTTTATATTGTTTTTAAAACAGTTCAATCTCATTTGCTTCCATCGTGCTTTTGGGGAGATACTGGCAGAAAAAGGAATTGAAAACCTCTGGATGGAGGCAAGCGGAATGTTCGTTCCCCATGAGACCTGTACAGCAGTTAATGGAGGTCTGGCTGACTGTTTGTGTATGGATGCCTTGCATGGATGAATTTCTATTTCTCTAGAAAGTACCTATTCCTAAGTAGTGAAAATGTCATTAGAATAGCTATAGGAACTGGCTGATGAATGAACCCGTTAGACTGAAGGTGCTCCCAACTGCCCTCAGATTTCAGGAGCTCCTTAGTGTGGAGTATCTTAGCCTCCACAGACACTGTGAAGTTGTTTTGCAGAATTTTTGAGTACCTAGTCATTTATCCGGAATGAGCATCCACAGCTGTTCTTGCAAAGCGATCTGTAACCCTCACAAAGAGTGAGCCTGTGTGTGGCCTGGAGCTGCTTCTCGGGGACCTGATTCTGAGCGGGCTTCAGTCAGTGATTGGGTTTTACTGAGAGGGAGGTGGCCTGGAGCATGGTATCCTGTGTGCAAGTCCCTGGATTTAAGCCCGGCTTGGGAACTTAAAACCTACATTTTTGGAGGAAAGTTTGATGAAAAGTTAAATTATGGTCTTTGGGACAGATGTTCTTTTCCCTGGTTTTCCTAAGGGTTTGATGAAAAATCACAGATAATTTTCGGTTGGGAATATAGTGACAGGATACCTAAATAGTAAATTTCAAAAGAATAAAAAAAATAAAGGATCATAATGCTTGAATAATAAGAGAAAAATCTTATCCATTTACCTATTTTTTATTTGACTTGTTTAATCTTATAATTTTTATAAGTTAGAAATGTTTAGATGTTTGTTTTAGGAAGTTTAATATTTCATCTGCTGAAAATCACAGGTGAAATTTTTGATATATGTCAAGTGGATTAACTGCCGATCTGATCATATTTAAATCATACTTGCTTCTCACGCATTTTACATCCTTAAATAGTGTGTCATTTTGACCCGACATCGTTGCAGCTAATAAAGTAGGTTATGGAATTATCGTCAGGGTCGTGCTGAGGTTCTCTCCCTGTCCACTGGCTCTGTGGGTCTAGACTGTGTTTGTTGTATTTTGAATCCTGAGGTGCTCTGTTGCGGTAGCTTCTCACCCCTCTACCTCTGTTGGGCAGTCTGAAGCTTCTGCTTTATTAACTATCGGCCTCTTCTGGTGCCTGTTCACATGCTCTTACAGATGCAACTAATTCACGAAATCTCCAACCTAAAGAATTTAGTTAAGCATGCAGAAGTATATAACCAGGACCTCGAGGTGAGCATTCGTGTTGCTGTTTCTGTTGATATGACAACTGTAAAACATACATGACATTGAACACGGCTGTGGAAAATAGAATTATTCTTTAAATATTAGTGCTTGAATTTTACTGTCAATTTAAACAATTACGTTTTTTAATCCTGTCAAATCCAAATCAAATACTACATTCTGTTTCATTCTTCTTTGATTCTTTTAGGATGAACTAAGCTCCAAAGTAGAACTACTCAGAGAAAAGGAAGCTCAGATTAAGAACCTACAGAAATTCATAGACTCGCAGAAAGCAGAGAATGCACAGTTGGCCTCGCCATCCCCGTCGGTAAAGATCGGGCTCCCTTTCCTGTGCCATCCTTTGGGCGTTTCTAGTTTGCCAGGGTCGTGGGTGCTCACTTTGGGCAACTGCATAATTGTCGCCAGTGATCTGTATTTCATCTGTCAGCCCTGTGACAATGAGACTATTCAGATCGTTGCCAACTTACAAGTAAATGCACATAGGAAGTTGAGTGTGTCATTCTTTGATTAAACATAAGGAAGTAAGGGACACGCTTCCATTAGAAATAAGCAAGTCATCAGAAACTTAGCAAGACCTTGTCTCTAAAAATAAAAAGATGCTGAAACTGCAGCTCAGTGCATAGGCCCTGGGTTCATTCCCCTATCCCACAAAATAGATAAGTCAAAAAGCTTCTCATCGGTTCAGTTCTTTTATACAAAGTATAAAGTAGCCAGGCGTGGTGGCACACGCCTATAATCCCAGCACTCGGGAGGCTGAGGCAGGAGGATCTCTTGCAAATTCAAGCCCAGTCTGGGCTACATAGTGAGTTCTAGGTCAGTCTCAACTATATAGTGAGACCCTGTCTCAAAAAAGCAAAAAACAAAAAAATCTTAAGGTAAACATTTGGAATTGATGAATAGCTATAAGGTATAGATCATAAATAGATTAGCATGGCTTAATAAATTCATTTCATTAATAGATATCAAGTATTCCCATTATAATTCAAGTAATAGTTTTGTTTATTAGCTTTTTATTAAAGTGTAACAGAGTTCTTACAGTATTTTCATACATTGGTATTGGGGGGGTTTTGTGTTTTGTGTTTTGGTGATTCTAAACATTGAGCCCAGGACCTTGCACAACACTAGGCAAGCACTCTGTTACTGATCAACATCTGTGACCCCATGCACTGCTTTACATTTTCATTATGGAAAACACGGTTTCTTTTCATTTGTGTGTTTATTCCCGTAAGTTCACCCCTTTTGGCTAGGTACAAATAATGTTTCTAAAGTACTCAATCCCTTTTGTCCTCTGTCTAGGAAAACAGTGAAGACCCAAAACAAATGAGACAGTCTTTTTTTGATGCTGAGACTGTAGCCCTTGATGCCAAGAGAGAGTCAGCCTTTCTTCGAAGTGAAAATCTGGAACTGAAAGAGAAAATGGTAAGAAATGTTTTAAAAGTTTGTAACAAAGCAGGTAGAATAATCAGTACATTTTTGTGACTTGTCAGTTTTCTCTTAATAGAAGGAACTTACAAATACTTGCAAACAAATGGAAATTGATACTCGGTTATATCAAGGCCAGTTGGAGGCAAAAAAGAAAATGCAAATTGATCTGGAGAAAGAATTACAATCTGCTTTTAATGAAATAACGAAACTCACCTCCCTTGTAGATGGGAAACTTCCAAAAGGTATTTTATAATTTCAGACATCTCTCTGCAAATCTGAAAAAATGCACCCAGATTATTTGGCAGCTACAGTCCAATAAGTAAAAATCCACTAGGCTGTTTTCTTCAACAACTTAATATTCAGTTTTAAAATCATTTGGTGCCAGTGTTTATAAAGACTTCCATGAGGTTCAAATCATACGTAGCTTAAAATGATTTTTGAAATACATTGGTCCTGATTTTGAGGTTGCTTCAAGAGCTATTACAAGTTAGATTATCCATTGCCAGCATTTTCTCTAAATTACCAAACACTTCCTAGATTTGCTGTGCAATTTGGAACTGGAAAGGAGGATAACAGATCTGCAGAAAGAACTGAATAAAGAAGTTAAAGAAAACGAAGCTTTACAGAAGGAAGTTAACTTGCTGTCAGAGCTGAAATCTCTGCCCTCTGAAGTGGAAATGCTGAGGAAAGAGGTGAGCAGAATTTTAAACAATCAGCCCTAGTTTTGGAATGAAAAATCTTTGAAATACTGCCTTAAATATTTTGATACAGTGTATTTCTACAAAGCAGAGAGACAGTTTCGCTCAGTGTTAGCAGTGGAGATGAGAATAGTTGCCTGCTGGTTTGCGTTTGTGCACCGGAAGGAAGGAAGGAAGAGGCTGTCACAGTGTGTGTACAAGTGTGCCTGGCGGCGGGGCCTTGTGGCCGGGGCGCCTGTGCTCCTCAGGTGGGCTGCTCTTGGTCCTCGCCTGTTCTCTCCTCCTCTGTCGCTGTGTTGAATAAAAATAAGGAGCTGAAGGGCATCGTGGAGGAGCTTTCGGGCTTGCACAGGCTGTCAGACAAGGGAAGGATTACGTGAGCCCACAGCCTGCCAGCTTTTCCTTCCTGCGTCCTTTCCAAAAGAAAGAAAAATGGCAAGAATCTGACATGCCGACATTGTACTGAAGACCTTCAGAAACACTTTTTATTCTTTTTCTGTTTATTTTATTTCCTATTTCTGTCTTTCCTCAGCTCTCCTCTTTCCCTCTTCCCTTGTTTTTCACAGTGATTTCTCTGTACGTAAGCTGGATATGGATTTTTTTTTTTTTAAATAATGCCTTTGAAACCGTAAGCATTATTCTTTTAAATTATTTTATTAACTTTTTGGAAATCTGAGCTGTAAGAAAATCCTTTAGAAAAATAAAATAAGTAATTCTGAGAACCCTAAATGCCAGCTGCAGGATACAGTTAGAAAATCCTTCAGAATGGCAGCAAGGAAATCAGCACCCCGACTGCCTCTACTGACTGACTGCGCCATGCAGTCCTTACTAGAACCCAGAGATTGGAAAACAACATGAAGGTGAAGTAGGAAAAGTTAGAGAAATGGGACAATAAGGACATTGCCTTTCTTCGGCCAACTCTTCAGAAAATTTAAGTGATTACTTTCCCTCTGAGGAAAACTTGTTCTCTGGAACATTGTGAAAACATTGAGGAAACTGTGGGAACGTTGAGGAAAACTTCTTCTGAACATTGCTGCAGGAAATCCTACATTGTTAACATCCCTAAATCTTGCTTCTCTTCTGTAGATACAAGATAAATCAGAAGAGCTCTCTGTGATAGCATCAGAAAAAGACTGGTTGTGTTCCGAAGTAACTCAGAAGGAGAGCAGCATTCAAGGTTTACTTGAAGAAATTGGGAAAACTAAAGATGACCTGGCCACCGCCCAGTTGAATTACAAAAACACTGAGCAAGAATTTCAAGATTTCAAAATCCTTCATGTGGAATTGGAGCAAAAATATAAAAGGGTCCATGAGGAGAGTGTGAGAATGAAGCAGGAAATGGGAAGTCTCTCTGAAGAAACAGAGCACCTTCGTTTGAGCTTGGATGCGGTGAAGACTGAGGTTGGTGCAAAGTGTTCTCTGGGAAGGGCTGGTTGGTGGTCTGGAGTTTAACCTTAAGTATGCCAGAGAATGCTCTGCTTCTACATTTCCCATCTAATTTCTCTTCTTTTAAAGCTTTCTCACAACGCTCAGAAGGTTCAGCAGAAAACAGCCGAAGATCAAGAAAGGGTGCGTGAGGTGGAACAGCTGAAGGAAGAGCTGGAAAGGAGAGGTGCCCACCTGCAAGCTGCAGAGGAGGAGAAGACGCTGGTGACTGAGAGGTTGCAGCAGAGTCTGGAGGCAGTGAGAAGCTTGGCCCAGGAGAAGGAGGCCCTGAGCCAGCTCCGAGACAGCCTGCAGGCTGAGCGGGACCAGCTCCGCGGTGACATCCGGGACACGGTGAGCATGGTAAGGCACTGTGCTCAGACGCGGGAGCCATGGCTCCTTACTTGTGACCAGGAAGCGGTCATGACATGACTGTGCTTTCTGTACTAATGGAAATCGTTTCATGTTTCCCTGAGAAGAACATAGACACACAGGAACAGCTGCGCAATGCCCTGGAGTCTCTGAAGCAACACCAGGAAACGATTAACACATTGAAAATGAGAATTTCCGAGGAATCATCCAGGAATTTGCATACAGAGGAAAATGTATGCAAAACTGAGCAAGAATTTCATCAAAAGGTGAAGGGTGTTGATTTCCAGATTTTCCATATATTTATTTCTATATGAATTTACTCTTTAACCCCAAACACTTAAAATATCGTGTAGTCTAGGTTTTGTTAATTCACAGTGGTAACCACCAGTACTTTTATAAGCTTAATCTTAATGTCTTTAAAGGAAATGCTAACAAAATTGCTTATAATCAATTTTAAAAGAAAAGGGCAAAAAAATATTAGTTCAGACTTTGAAGAGTTAATATTTCCTGAGACTTGATGTATTTTGAGTTTCTTTAAAGGCCTTTCTGAATCCTAACAAGAAAGACTAACTACTCTTAATGATGGCTAAACATTTCTTTTATGTCAGATTTTCTATACTAAAGTTGGTTGGAGTTCACAGTTCAGTATGATATGGGGTTTCATTTGCTACATCTTTCTCCTTTCCCCAAATTTGTATAACAATTTTTTAAATAAACTTTTATTTTTAGTATACCTTATACCCTTTTATCCAGAATATCAGCTACTATAAATTTTAAATATCCTTCAGGAGATGAGTAAAATAACCTTTCATACATCCAAAGTTTGAACAGTATATAGTATATATATATTTCTTTAATTTGTGGTAAAATGCCTATAACATAAAATTTACCCCCTTAATAATTTATAAGTCTGGAGTTGAATATAGTGTTAAGTTCTAGCATATTATGGTGCCACCAATTTTCAGAACTGTTTTCATCTTGCAAAACTGAAACTCTGTATCCATTAAATAACAACTGTAGGCCGGGGATCTAGCTCAGTGGTTCTGGCACCTACTTCACAAGTGCAAGGACCCGAGTTTGAACCCTGGTAGCAGTAAATAAATAAGTAAATAAATAAATAGCTCTAGCTGGGGATTTAGCTCAGTTGTACTGCTGCCTGCCTCCCAAGAGCAAGGTCCTCAGTTTGATCTCCCTTACCAAAAAGAAAAAAAACAAAATAACAACTCCTTATAAGTTCATATTTCCGATGTACCTTGGGTATCAGTACAGAAAAGTATTTCACTCTACTTTGTATTTGTATACAATGTGTTAGGAGTAACGTTGTAAGATTTTGAATTGTAAAATCTGACAGACCAGATTTAATTAGTGTGTCCTGTAGTTACCTCTGTGCTCATGCGTACTCCATTCAATAAAAGCAGAGAAGTAAAATCTGGTTTGTCTGTATCCTCCATAGAGAGCTAAGCAGCTACTAAAGATCACGATTTGAAGATTACTTCACAGCATGAGAAACATGTATGATCTAAGTGGAAAAGCAGGCTAAAAGTATCATACCTATGTAAACTAAGTATAATAGCTAATATTTATAAAAACCTTAATTGGAAAAAAACTCTGGAAGAAAATATATTCTAATAGTGACTTTGTGAGGTTGATGACTTTTTTGGATGGTTTTTTCCTTTGTTCTTTTTTCTTTCTAATTTGATTATAGATTATTATAAATAACTTTCAAAAATGTGTGCTCAGTATGGGCTGAATGATGTCAATCTTCATCTTTGCCAAAAGTTTGTGTATGTCAGGTTCTCTTTGGTTATGGTGTGTTGATGGATTAATGAATTATTATGGCATCCTTTTCTTAAGTATAGAAAAATTACATTAACAAAAGTACATTATGCTGTTACAAAATGAGATAGGACAAAAGGATTTTGAGAGATACCTCTTATAAAACTCCAGCTTCTTATGAGTAAAACCACTCTGAAGAATGAAGCTTTGTTGGGAGAGAGGATAGGGATGACGCTGGGGCGAACATAAAGTAGTAGAGTCCAGAGTCATTTGCTCCTTCCTCAGAAGTAAAGCACAGCACTGCCATGTGCATCTCAGGAAATACTTGTAGACGACAGGAAGGAAGGGCATGTGTCTTTTAGCTGTGTGATTGAAGTAAGTTGGCATCCATAGTCAAGTTAGCCTATCTGTGAAGATAACTGTAATATTCTCAGCTGCCCGCGTTGTTCTTGTCTGAACTGGTCGAGGGCAGACTTCTGGTGTGCAGCCTCACCTCCCTGGAGTGACACTGCTCCCCAAGCACACAGGGATGACGCAAGTACCTACCTCATAGGGCAGGAGGGCAGACACGGTGTGCTGAGGTGTGAGAGTAGTTAGTACCTGGCATGTAACGATACTGACGTGTTGGCTGTTTGATCAATGCTGTATTAAAGTGGTTGTTATTAATACCTGAGAAATTCTTCTTTGATTTCTATTTTAGATGATTGGTATGGATGAAAAACAGAGTTTGGAAGCTGAAACAACTGGAATTCTGATTGCTGGTGTGAAGGACAGCAAGGTAGTTGAGCAGCAAAAGAAGATGTGTTCTTTAATACGAGAGAAAAATGAACTCCAACGAATCCTAGAAAGTATTACAGCAGAGAAAGAACAGTTGAAGACTGATCTAAAGGAAAATATTGAAATGGTAGGAGAATATCACTGTGTGACAGATTGGTCCATGTCACACCGGCAGGGTGACTGCCGCTCTGGACTTGCAAGTACATTCTGGGGATCTGTGTGACTAAAGACTTGCTTTCTTTAGTCCTTTTCTATATAGTTTGCCTAATATTTTTATTTGCAGGCTGAGGTAAATGCTGACTTTTTAACCTGATTTGTTAAGTAAAAGCTAATGATATATATTTTAATCTCAACTTTTAAAAAAATTCCAGACCATTGAAAATCAAGAAGAATTAAGAATTCTTGGAGATGAACTTAAAAGGCAACAAGAAATAGTAGCACAGGAAAAGAACCATGCCATAGAGAAAGATGAAGAGCTTGCCAGGACCTGTGAGAAACTGGCAGAAGTTGAAGAAAAGCTAAAGGAAAAGGTAAATTCTTGAACTTACCTTCCTGGCCATTTTCCTGACTTATACCTTTTTTTTGATTCCCATAATCCCAAATGCAGGGAGAGCACATATTCCTAAAGTGAACAGATCTGATTGCTGCTATCTTAGACAGCTTCACTTGTACTAAAATCTTAGCTAACGTCCCATGTGAGGATTGTATTATTCCAGAGTCCATAGGTGAGACAGGCCTGTGTCTTCTTAACTAATAAAAAGGTAACAGCACTGTCCTGGGCACTTGAGATACTACACTGGTCAGCAGAACATACAAAGAGGTACTAGTGACCCTTTACTCTGTAAGATTTAACCAGGAGCGTCCTACAGCAAACTGTGACCTGCAGGATTCTGAAACACACACACAGACCTTCCTGTTTCGGCTCAGAGCAGAGGTCCTGGAAGTGCACAGCTGAAGTGAGGTGCGTGCTCACCTCCTCCAGCATTCTGGTGTCTCCCAGCTCCCCTGGGCATTTCTTGGCACCCCTCAGAGCTCTGCTTCCATATCCACATGGCCTTCTTTCCTGGGCCTCTCTGTGTCCTTTTCTGTTTCCCATCAACATGCTGTCTTTGCTCCGAGGGCCTGCCCTACTGTCTCATGGTCCCTCCTAATTACATCTGCAAATAGCTGAATGTGGGTTAGGACACAATTTAACCTGTTACAGACACCATGCCTAAAAGGTTTGTTTACTCTTTTTAATGTTTCTTGACTGTCTTATTGGGGTAGTCCATGGGGCTGTGTTAATGATTTTAGATTAAAAATTTGAGAAAATATAGGCAAAATGATAACTGTAAAAATTGTACATCTTCAGAATGAACAACTCCAAGAAAAACAACAGCAGCTTCTTAATACACAAGAGGAGATGAGTGAGATGCAGAAAAAGATGAATGAAATGGAGAAGCTAAAGAGTGAGCGAAAGAACCAAGAATCCAAGTTGGAACACCTGGAGATGGAAAGGCTTGAGCTGACTCAGAAACTGCATGAAAACTGTGAGGAAATGAAATCCATAACCAAAGAGAGAGACGATCTGAAGGAACTACGGGAGTCATTGGAAGTAGAAAGAGATCAGCTTAAAGAATACATAAGCAAAATTGAAGCTGCAGTAAGTTTCACCCTTCTCACCTGTTGGATGTTCCTTTAAAATCTGGGAGAGCAACGTCGGGATGACTTTCTCACTCTGTTCTCTAAATCTCGCTTGCTGGTGAAGGGCCGACACACAGAACAGGAGCTCAGCGTCGCCCGTCTGCATCTACAAGAACACCAGGAAACTATCGCTGAGCTCAGAAGCAGCATTGCTGAAAAGGAAGCTCAGATAGGAAATACTCAGGAGGACTTGGAGAAGTCCACCACCAAAGTAGGAGAGCAGGTATGGCTTCTCTTCCTCCTGTCCTCCTCTTCCTGGCTGTCCTTGAAAGGAAGGCTGAGCGCTGAGCTGTGACTGAGCTCTGTCCTCTCATGGATTGGGTGAGTGTTTGCCAGCTGCTGGTGGCGAGTACAGCTGTGCTTATCACACAGTAGTGGAAGAAGGAGGCTTCGGTGCCTGGTCCTTCCATTCCTCATAGAAGGAGAGTACTCATTGCCAAGGCGACCAGTCCACTAAGGCACGTAATGATGAGTGCAACAGAAACGTCCTTCACAGCCTCAGTAGGAATCAAGGGAAGTTGAGAGAGAGTGTGTGATCCCCAGTAGGTCCTGAGGGTTCAAGGTCACTTTGGTTGCTGTGGGAAGTGTCCTGATCTTTTCCTCTTACCTTCCGATCATGGCTTCCAGGAAGTAACCTGGTACTTTATGAATATCACAAGGTCCCAGTGCCCGATGAGGAGCAGAAGGTGCTTCCTACCGTGAAAGCAGGAGGTGAGATTCAGGACACAGTGAGGGAGCTGGAGGCGCTGGAGGAACAGTCCACAGCCGCGGGTCTGACAGAAACAGAAAGGCTCAAGCTGATAGAGAAATTTCAGGAAAGCCAGGAAGAGATAAAATGTCTCATGAAGGAAAAGGACAACCTTAAAATGCTCAGAGAAGCTCTTGAAGCTGAACGGGACCAGCTGAAAGAATACATCAGAGAAAATTCGGTTAAAGTAAGTTTCTTTTCCTCCCACTTAATTAGTATTTTATCAGAATCAAGTCTTTACAAAATGGGTGTTTGTGTTGAGTTAAAATGTGACTGTCAGTTGTAACTGTCTTAATCATGAGGTAACTGGAAACAAAAAAATTGCTCATAAAGGACCGGGGACATGGCTCAATAGTAGAACATTTGCCTGGAATGCGAGAGACCCTGGCTTTCATCCCCAGCTCAGTAAAACAAAACAAAAAATGCTATGAATACTAGGAAACTATTTAAGCTGAGAGGAAATGTTTCAGAGAAGACAGCTGTCAGTTAACTTTTCTTGTTGCTGAGGCAAAGTACCCAACACCCAAAGTTAGGTTTATTTAGCTCACAGTTTGTAGAGGTTTCAGTCCATAATCAGCTGGCTCAAGGAAGGGTGGCACATGGGAGAGAAGCAGTTCATGGCAGGCAGAAGGCACCATGCATTAAAGTAGCAAAGCAGCACGTGACCTTCTTGTGTCCCTTACGTCCTATCTAGGCTGCACGCCCTTAGGGCAGGTAGCACTCACACCCAGGGTGGGCCTTCTCATTATCCACACTGAGAACTAAGCCACACCAATGAGTGGACTGATTTAGTAATCACACACCCTTGATCCAGCATCACATACTCTAGATCACAGCCCACTGTGACTGCGTGAGGCTTTGGAGGGACATCTAGACACAAGCCTTGACAACAACGGTTTTCTTAAATATTGCAAAATAATTTAGAAGAAGCTAAACAGAATTATAAGAAAGAGGAATGCCAAAAGTGAATAATTTACTTAAACCTATTCCTCCAACATTGCATACAACACTTTGTCTCCTAAGTGTCGTCCCTGTTGGTGCAACCATTCCAGTTGCCACTCTGACTTCCACTCACCAGACCTTGATTCTAGTGTGTGCACGAACGTCCTGCTGCTGTTTTCTCCGTAGTCTCCCCAGTCCTCAGTCGCCGTGCCTTCCTTCCGCCCTCCCACCACGGCCTCCTGGTTGTCTCCCCACACTCATTCTTCAGCGTCTCTCATCTCTTCCCACTTGGGGCCCAGCTGATCTTCTCGTGATTCCTTGACTATTGTACTGTTTCTCTCAGAATCAGTTTGAGTGCCCACTTGCCTCAGGGCCTGGAGCCTGGGCCCCATAGTCGCTGTCCCGTCCTGCTCACTGTACTCTGGTCCGCTGTGCCCTGCCCTGCCGCAGGGTTGCTGGGGGTCTGGGCTCGTGCCCCACTGTCCATCCACATGTGCCCTGTGTGACCCACACACCCCTCCACAGACCTCAGTGCACCTCTGGCCCCTCAGAAACCCTCGGGGCTTATTCACAATGCCTACATTAGATAGAAGAGCCTCAGTGAGCCCCTGTTTGGTAGGAGTTGGGATAAAGTCTTTTTCCCTAAGGTGAAAGTCTCAAAAGGCAGAACTCAGGTAAGTTTCTCTGTTTTATCTCCAGCTTCTAACAGGGCATTGACTACGGAGTGAGCCATGCACAGAAAGTGTAGAAAGTTGGCGAGTGCTTGGAAAGGGCCCGCTGCACTGGCCTTGGCCGCTGCAGAAAGCTCCCATTCTGTCCCCTAAAATACACAATCACCGGGAACCAACTGTATTTTATGATTCCCTTAAGATCCAGGAGGCTCAAGACGAACAAGAACAGCCCTTCCATATAGGAGAACAGGGTGAGAGTCCTAGAGGAAGTGACACGGAGCAGCTGCATGAGCAGCCTGAAGCCAAAGACGCCGCACTGCTAAGGGTAGAAATGGAAAAGCTCCAGTTGTGCCAGAGACTTGAGGAAAGTCGCAACCAATTGTCATCCTTGGCTAAGGAGAGAGACGACCTACAGACGTGGCAGGAAGCGCTCCAGGCAGAGCGTGACCAACTCACAGAGCACGTCAGAGAGGTCAGCGAGAAAGTAGGTTCTGTTTTCTCCATTTTTAAAAATATTTTCACGTGATTAAATATTTGCAAAAAGGAGTTCGTTATCCTGTAATGATTGTAATACTTCTGTAAATTTCTTGGAATTTCTCTAATAATGAAGCACCAGGAAACAGAAGTGGAGCTTAAAGTTGCCCGTTGCTGCCTGACAGAACGAGAAGAAACCATTGATGAGCTGAGGGCGCTGCTCTCGGAGAAGGAAACTGAACTGGCAGGCGTTAGGAACGGATTAGAAGCAGCCAGCGAGGAATTGCAGAAGGTAAACTGAGGGGCAGAGCAGTAGAAGGAGACTCGGCACTAATGAAAGACTTGTTTCTACACAAAATTACTTTCAAAAACAAACTATTTTTTTATTTTTCCTTCAAATATATATGTGTATATATATTTTTGACTAATAACTTTTATTGTTATTTTTAAGATCCGAGAGCTTTATGAGAAACAGGAACAGCTTATTAGTGTGAAAGAAACTAGCGAGACACAGGAAAATATGAATGAACTGGAAAAATTCAAGGAGCTTCTCAAAACCCAAGATTCCACCTTGCAGGACATAGAGAGCGACCGGCTCAAGTTGAGTAGGAGACTGGAAGAAAGTCAAGAAGAAATAAAAATTATCATTAGGGAAAGAGATGAACTGCAAAGGGAGCAGGAGGCCCTTCAGTTGGAGAGAGATCAACTGAAAGAAAACCTTAATGAAACTGCAGCTAAAGTAAGGCTCCCTCTTCCGTGTGTCTGGAAGTAAAATAGGGTTAAATGGGACTTTGATGACCACAGTCAAGTTTTATTAATTTTCTAGTCAAAAAGGAAATGAAAGAGCCTGTGAAAAACTGCTGACATTCACTGTCCTGAGCACCGAGAAACTCAGTGCCTGGAATATTTGGGTGGAGACAGGCGAGCCGCAGGTTTTCAGCGAAGTTCAGCACATTCCGTGCTGAGTTCAGCGAAGGGTGGGCTATACAAGAGTGCTTGGAAAGGGGCTGCTGCAGAAAGCACCCATTTCTGTCCCCTAAAGTACAATATCTCCGGGTACCAACTGTCCTCATGTCCCCAGTGAAAGAGAGCAGTACGTGCCTTACCCTAGCACAACACCGTTTTCCCTCAGTTTAGGAGTTGTCTTTTCCTAAAAACCTGCTGTGTCCTCGCTTGCTTTCTCAGCTCCGAGAACTTGAGGTAGAACAGCAGTGTCTCAGGGTAAAAGCTGCCAGCAAGACCCAGGAGACGGGGCGCGAATCTGAGCACTTAAGAGAGCTGCTGGAGGCCCAGAGATGGACTCTGGAAAACATGGAAACAGAACACAGGAAGTTGGCCCAGAGGCTCCATGAAAACCTCAAAGAAATAAGAGCAGTCACACAAGAGAGAGACGAGCTAAGAAGTGTGCTCAGCATGGACAGAGAGCGGCTCATGGGAAACCTGGAGGAAGCCAAAGCAAGAGTACGTTGCCGTCTCACCCTGTCCAGTAATGCGGCCTCGTGTCCTGGAAGACCAGAGGCGGAAGGGCTGTGAGGAATGGAGAATTGACCCCAAAAGTCCTGCTGTAGCTTTTTATTCTAACATGTTAGCAGGATGATGTAAAGATAGCTGTTAAGATATTCATTGGAGCAAGTCATAATCAAAATAAAGCAAACAAGTAGGGAAAATCAGAAGTGTCCAAGCCAGGCATGGTGGCCCACACCTGTAATCCCAGCACTCGGGAGGCTGAGGCAGGAGGATCGCTGTAAGTTCAAGACCAGCCTGGACTACATAGTGAGTTCCAGGTCAGTCTCAACTACATAGTGAGACCCTGTCTCATAAAACCAAAAAGAAAAAAAATCAGAAGCGTCCATTAGTAGGGGACTGGGTAATAGGAGAGCACATTCGGGTCATGGGCTGCTGCACTGTGGCTCAGGAGCAAGCCACTGCCGCAGAGCCGCAGGGGGGTGTCCTGCGTGGGGCGGCCCGCTGCAGAGCTGTGAAGTGTGTAGAGGACCACATCCAGCAGGAGCTTAGCAAGGGAGGGCCGGGAGTTCTCGTTGGGCTTTCGCTCTGAACCTCTCCACTGTTTGGATTGTTTCACTCTCAATTCTTCCTCTAATAAAGGACCTGGAAAAACAAGAGGAAGTAAGAATGGCTCACCTGCGTCTGAAAGAGCTGCAGGGAACGGTAGACGAACTCAGAGGGGCTGTTTCTGAGAAGACAGACGAGATGGCATCCATGCGAGTGGACTTGGAAAACACAAACGCGGCCTTAAAAGAACAGGTATCTTCTGAAGTTGTCTGAGGAGCTGAGGGTTTGGACTGGGTGTTTTTTGTAATGAAACCGGGCGGTGATTAGCCTAAACCCAAAGATTTGCCTATTCAACTTTGGAACTATTCTTTGTTGTGTCCCAAGGCCCAAGAACTTGAGAAGAAAGAACATCAACTTCTTCAGGTAGAAAATAATCTCAAGGAAACCGTGTTTCACATGGAGCAATTGAAGAAGCAAGTAGAAGCTCAGAATGCAACTCTGGACAGCATGGAGATGGAGAGAGTAAGACTGACGCAGAGCCTCTCGGAGAACCGAGAGGAAGTGCGGCTCCTCACTGAGGAGAACGGGAGCCTGAGAAGCGCGGAGAAAACCCTGAGAGAGGAGGACGAGCAGCTGCGGAAGAGGCTGTGGAGGACAGAAGCTGAGGTGAGCCGCGCTCTTCCCTGTCCCTGCAGGCCAGCGCCGAGCCCTTCTGGGAGGAGAGGTGACGCGGCTTTATGGCCCCTGAGACCTGGCGTCGGTGTTCTTAAAGTTTCAGTTCTGTAACCGGCATTTTTCTTTGTGATGGCTGTGACTCAGTGGTTAGAATAAAGAACGGACGTATACGTTCACACACACACATCCGCCACAGGGCTCTGTGTTGCAGTAGTTTGCGGTAGGAATGGGAGTTGTCTGAATGCTCTTCAGAAGGGAGCTGGGTAGAGGAGGCCAGTGTCAGAATCCCACATGACCCTGAAAGAAAGAAAGCCGCGGGTTTGGGTGACCCTGAGGGCGGAGGGCTGACGTGGAGGGTGTGCAGTGCGCTTGCTCCCCCTGCAGGAGGGAAGCGCGGGTGCGGGCGAGGGGCAGGCGGTAGTGTTCAGAGCTGAGCTGCCGACTCTCCTTCAAGGTGCTGCAGAGGCAGGAGGAGCTCAGAGCCGCTCACATGAGCCTGAAAGAGCACCGGGAAACCACCGATGAGCTCAGAAGGCTTATTTCGGAGAAGACGGATGAAGTGTTGAGTATGAAAGTGGACTTAGAAAATTCCAGTGCTAAATTACAAGAGAAGGTACGGAAGGGGTGCTTGTTGGACTGGATGTCAACTTGGGATCTAAAGTCGCCCGGCACAGTGGGCAGCCACAGGCTGATGCCCACCCTCTCCAACAGTGTCCCCATGAGGCTCAGTGTCCTGCCCAGGGCGCACACCCAAGAGGCAGAGCACAGAGGCCCCAGGAATGCCCATGGCAGCAAAATAGTGCAGGATGAAGACAGCTCACGTCTGCCCCAGGAGGCGGTCATGAGGGACAGCAAGGTCACCACGGGGGTCAGTCTGGGAGAGGGTGCACAGATGTCCTGCTTGACCTGGATGATAGTTTTACAGCTGTACGCATGTCAGAAATAGTTGAGCTGCGCACCTAAGGTTGGTGTACTTTATTTTACCTCAAAAGAAAATTGTGTGTGGATTAGTGAGAATAACACTCTCTCGGTGGCCCTGGGGATTGAACCCAAAGCCATTGCACTGAGCTACATCCACAACCCTTTTTAGTTTTTGAGATAGGATCTCACTGAGTTGCTGGCCAGACTTGAAATTGCCACCCTCCTGCTTCAGCATTCCGGAGTGCACCGTCAGGCCCTGCTGGGGAAGACTACAGCCTTAGTTTAGAAACTATTCCTTAACTTTCTCTTTTAGAAAAGGTTGTATCCTAACATTATTTTATCATTATCTTAAGATTCGAGAACTGAAGGCGAATGAACATCTACTTTTTAAATTAAAAGAAGATGTCGGTGAGACACAGACACAGCTCAAGGACCAGAGCTTAACGCTAAGTAAAATGGAAATGGAGAATTTAAATTTGGCTCAGAAACTTCATGAAAACCTAGAAGAAATGAAATCTGTGGCAAAAGAAAGAGATCGTCTGAGGAGCATGGAGGAGGCGCTCGTGTTGGAGCGAGACCGGCTCAAAGAGGACCTGCAGGAGGCCTCAGCCAAAGTGAGTTGTGTGCCACCTCACTGCCCGGCCAGTGTCCTCCAAAAGCAGGAGGCCCTGAGCCTGGAAGGGCTGAGTTACCACAGCTTCTTCGGGGAACCAGCCCCCCCTCCCGGGATTCGTCCTTCTGACAGCCGTGCACCGTGTGGGTGGTTGAAGTGACTGAAGTCTAGAAGCCGCCCACATGGCCAGCAAGAGGGCCCAGGCTACCTGGAATTCCCCTGCGGGGTGGGACCGGAGGCCCAGGACAGGCTGGGGCTGCTGCCGTCAGGGCGGTTTTCAGTTGTTTGGACCAATCATGAGCAGTCAGTGTTGTATTTCTTTTTCTTCTAATAAAGAGTCTGGAAACACAGCAAGAACTAAAAACTGCTCATCAGCATTTGAAGGAGCAACAAGAAACGATTGAGAAATTCAGAAAGAGGGTTTCAGAAAAGACAACTCGGATTTCAAACATTCAGACCACTTTAGATCAGTCAAAACATGAATCACAGGAGAAGGTATGTGTGGTTTTCTTCTTTTTTGGGGATTAACTATGCTCAGAATTATTTGTGGAATGGGAAAGGCAACAGATGTATAGCTATGAGTACAGATTGAGAGTCCCTCATCCAAAAAGGCAAAATCTGAAATCCAAAACTTTTGGAGCACCAACTTAAAGTTCAAACACTTTTGAGCTTCAGAGTATTTTAGATTTCAGATTTTGGGCTTAGGAACTCTCATATCCAGTAAAATCTGCAGATGTTCCCAAATCGAGTAACTCCAAAATGAAACATTCATTGCAGATGAGGGACCTTCTGCCTGCGCGTGTGTGCACATGGAGCACACACTGCTTTCCTTCGTTTGCATTCTAACTTGTTTCGTAATTATCCCAAGATCCAAGAACTTCAGCAAAAAGAGCTTCAGCTTCTCAAAGTAAAAGAAGATGTCAGTAAGAGTCATAAAAAATGGAGTGAAATGGAACAATTGAGGCAGCAGTTTGAGGCCCAGAGTGTACCAGTGCCCCCTGCAGATGTGGATAACTTCCACTTGACTAAGAAACTTCAGGAAAACCTAGAAGAAATCAGGATGGTAGCTAAGGAGAGCCGTGAGCTCAGGAGGATGAAAGAGGCACTCGAAAGGGCCAGAGGCCGGTGCAGAGAAGCCGTGAGGAAAGTGGTAGCTAGAGCGGGATCCGAGCTCTCCACTCGCCGTGAACTATCTGTAAGAACCAAGCTTTTTTGGAAAAAGAACCAACATGGGGTGTTTTGTTGTTGTTTTCTGGAAATGTCTATGAGCAGTAAAGGCTAGTGGGAAAATGTACAGTAATTTTTACACAAATAGGAAATGCATTTCTTGAAGCCAAAAAAAAAATTCCAGAAAATTCCACTTTAATTTTTCTTTCTTTCTTTCTTTCTTTCTTTCTTTTTTGGGTACCAGGGATGGAACTCAGGCCCTTGTGCTTGTGAGGCAGGCGCCAGAAACACTAAGCTAAATCCCTGGCCCTCATTTTTCATTTTTAAGAAAAACATAATAAAACAGACTGTTTTCCTTACTATAATTTCTAATTATACTTTCTAATGTTTTTTAAAATAGAAAATAGCATGACTATACATGAGATATTAAAAGATGAGATTTGTCACCAAGGATTAAAGCCCTCATTGTATACCTCTCGGCAGAGTTCTGGAAATGGCTCTTACTGTTAGAGCAGTTGGAATAGGAAAAGCAAGCAGAGTATAGAACTTCTTCTAGTGTGACTTTGTGGTTGAGTCAGAGTAACATAGTTTTTTTTGTTTTGTGGGGTTTTTTGTTTTGTTTTGGTGTTTTTGTTGTTTTGTACCAGGTATCTGACTCAGGACCTTGCACTTGTGAGACAGGCAGTGGAACCACTAAGCTAAATCCCCGGCCCTCACATAGCTTTTTTAAAAAGTCTAATCGAATCCTCTAAGAAGCAACAATTGAAACAAATAGCCATATGCAGTCTTTAAAAAATATTTTCATTTCTGTAATTTAACAATAAAGTAGAAAACAGTATTATTTACAGTCTCAACAAGCGTGGAATACTTGACGATCATCCTTATGTGGTCCCTAACTCATAAAGGGATTTAATTTCACAGCTGTTTATTAAGGGTTGGTCATTCTCCCAGGTACCAGAGTGGGTAAATTCACCAAGGAGGAGAAAGTGGTTTTTCTGTCTGTTTTGAGCTTGTTAATCAGAAATGCAGAATGAAAAAACAGCATTTTCTATTGCAAGGTGCCGGGAAGAATGTGTCACCTGGGCTTGGGACACCGGCCAGTGCAGGTGGCTTTGCTAGGTATCACCTGGCAGGTACCGCAGAGGTTTAGAAGAGCAGGAGACAAATAAATCAGAATTTAATTTGACACCATGGAGATTTAAGTTCTGGCCCCGAAAGTTGGTGACTTCTGTCCCCTAGAGTAATGTGTTTTCCACTTCCCCAGTGAGTAGCGGCACTCACTGAGATGTGGACGCACCATGGCTCACCTTCTAAAGTATAACACTTCTACGTCTACACGAGTGTGAGCAGGCACCCTCTGTGAGTACGGCTGAGCATGTTCGTTTCTCTGCCCAGGACCGTCAGCCCCGCAGGGAGGCCAGGAACTCGGGAAGGAGGTCTCCGTGTAGTGGAGAGCAGCCTCTCGCCGGAAGCCTGAAGGAGAAGGGCCTCCGGATAGGAGTAAGTGTCCCCGTCACCCGCACAGGCCTTGCGTGGACCCACGGGACCTCTGTGGGGCGTAGCGCAGGGTGTCCCCAAGCATTGCCGTGTGTGAGGGGTGTGCACACAGCTGTGAAGGCCTCCTGCACAGGGACGGTAGAGCACACAGCTGTCCTGTCCGGTTTAGAGCGGGTGGACCGGGAACTGGCGGGCACAGCTGGCTCCCAGGCAGCCCTTGTGGCACAAGGAGCACAGGAGAGGAGGCGGCAGGAGGCAGAGCCTGACAGGACTGAGGTTTCTTCTAGGCAAGAGCAGTGACCACAGGGGGCCATGAGCTGTGTTGGAAAAGCCAGGAAGCGGGGAAACCACTTCGAGGACGAGTGCAGTGGTCCGGGCAGAGTGGTGGAGCTGGGGCCACATGGCGAGTGGTGGAAGTGGTAGGCAGGGTTTGGATCCTGCCTGTGCACAGCTGGAAGGCCAGTGGAACTAGGGGTCTCCTCCCCAGCAGCCAGACCAGCATGCAGCCGCTTTTCTTACTGGAGACCTGGGGCCCGATCTCATGTGCTTCATGCCCAGAGCTAAGTATGGTGCTGCGAGGTGACTGCAGCGCTTGACCTGGACGCATCCTCCCCTGCCCAGGGAGCTGCTACCTGCCTGGCCTCTGCCATCAGGTGCCTGTGTGCTGCCCTGGCTCTCCATACTGCCCCGCAGGAGGGAGGTTGTGTTGCTGCACTGGGGAAGGAAACCAAAGCGAGAGGGAAAGCTTAGCATTGGCCATGGTGGCACAGCTGGCAAACTGTCACCCAGAATTTGATTCTGCGAGGCCTGAGTTGTGTATCGAAACATTTGTTAAGATAGTTTCATTTCCTTCAGGTTCTAACGTCTGCATCTGTTTTGTCGATTATCCATGCAGACACATGTCGTCTGTATATTTCCTCTGATCCCCTAGAAAGCCGTGACATTTACTGAGTGGCCATGCTGTAGTTGAGCAAAAGGCTCAGTGACGTCCCTTGTCCGAAGAGACCAGGCTGGAGCTGAGCCCCAGCTCCGGTGAAGGTTAGGAAACTGTGGCAGACAACAGGAACGTATAGGTGACTTTCCCCAGGCAGCAGAGGGGCAGGTGGCCTCGGCTCCTCAAGGCACTGCTAACTCCCTGCCTGCCAGAGCCCGCAGCCTGCACTCAGCCTTGAGCTACAGCAGATGCAACTCACAGTCACTGGGGTTTCTCTTCAACTTGGCTGACGTGCATTCAGACCATGAAGGTTCTAAAGACAAGAACAGAATACATCCGAATACTGTGGGGCGCAGTGGTCAAAGCATCTCCTAGCATACATGAGGTCCTACATTTAATCCCCAGTGCTCTTAAAAAATGATAGCAATATTGTGTCCAGTGTATTGTTTAGTTCCCACAATAGTTATATATTATGTCTATAATAAAAAAATGTTTTTTAAGCATAAAGGTCTTTATGTCTTTGCTACAGAAAATGTTAAAATATAAGTTGTGTCACAGTTTTAGCAGTAGAGCTACTTACTGTTAAATTGAATGAAGTTTAATTTTCCTTTAGGAGCTTCTGAAGAGATACTCAGAGATGGATGATCACTGTGAATGCTTGAACAGATTGTCTCTTGACTTGGAGAAGGAAATTGAAACCCAGAAAGAGCTTTCAGCGAGAGTAAAAGCAAACCTCTCACCTCCACATCCACAAAGCAAACAGATTCAGAGACTTCTCACTGCCAGCCAGAGGTGCTCCATGGAATTCCACAGAGTCATGAAGAAACTTAAGGTACCGCTATTTCTGAGTGATATCCACATAAATATGGCTGTAGACTTCAGGCACGACTCTCAGTGCATTGAAGTACTCTCAGGAATTCGCGTTTGCTATTTGGAATCCTTAGCACAAACGTGTGGTCCCAGAACAGTGTGTGGGATTCTCACCTGGGGAGAGAATGGTCACTCTGGAAACCCAAGCTCTGCACAGAAGCCTAGAGCCCGGCTCACGGTGCTCCAGAGACGGATCTCAGTCGTGTCCCAGATGTCTTGGGGCAGCCATGTGACCAGGGAACACACGTGAGGATGCCGGTGTGTGCAGTGGGGTGGCAGCCCACGCTGTGTGAGAGTCAGAAGCGGCGGCTGGGAGGAGGCAGGGCTCAGGTGGCACAGGTGGGGTTGGCAGGCGTCTTAAGTGGCGGTAGCAGGAAGAGGTTACCTGGGGGATATATCGTTCACCACAGAACGAGGAGACAGAGGCAGGTATGGTGTGAAACTAGCTGTGCTGCAGAGCAGGCTTCCCAGGGACTGAGGAGAAGACAGGGAAGAAACAGCAGCCTCGAGTGCGAGGCTCGTGTGTGATCGTGCAGGTCAGCAGACAGGTTTGGGTTTTGAGTGCCAGGATCTGACTGGCCAGGTGTGGGGATGGTGGGTACTGTTAACCAGGAGTGGGGTGAGGGTGTCTGCATGAGGAGTCTGAGGCTGAAATACCCACGATGGGATGTCCAGTAAGAGCCTCCAGTTGGGCATTCAGCTGAGAGTCCTGTTTGGCAGGAGAAGGGCTAGGGCTGAGATTCGGGCCGTGGGCAGGCACTGATCAGTAACAGCATGCGTGAGAAAGGGCAGTCACAGAAGGTAGTGGTCAGAACAGGGTGACAGGACTCAGAAGTGCCTGGAGGGTGGGGCTGGAGCTGGGGGTCAGAGGCAGAGCTGTCCCTCCAGCGTGTCCACGGGGAGAACAGTCCGGGCAGTATGCAGGTGTGACGTGGGTGGCTGCTTCCGAGTCCGATAACCCTTCCACAGACGCAGACAGTGGCTCCCGAGCTCACTGGTGGGCAGGAAAGGCTGCTGGACTGCATCTCCGGTGTCTGCCTGGGAACTGTGTGATCTCCAGCTTAACCCAAAAGGGGGCAGCAGGACGAGGACATTTAGCCACAAAGCCACCATGAATGAAAGTTCATTTTCCAATGTTTCATTTTTCTGCAAGTATGTGCTAAGCCATGTGACAAAGACAAAAGAAGAGCAGCACAACTCCATCAATCAACTGGAAATGGCTCTGGTTGGTGAAGTGGAAAAGCAGGAGGAGCTGCGTGCTGGGATGCAGCCCCCACAGCAGACAGGCGAGGGGCTGGGCACAGAGTCCAGGGTCCACAGGCTGCACCAGCTTATGGATCAACACATTGAGGTATGGTTTATTTTAAATGGACTCAATTAGCTTTTAACCCTTTCTATCAAATAGAAAGCCTCCTTTCCATGCACGTAAAGCCATTTTCATTTACCAGAAACGAAAAATAGGCTTCGGGGTGAGAGCTGGCCTGATACAGAGATGGCCCATGATGCACCAGCTTCCTTTCTGGCTGCTGCAGACACAGAAGAGCGGGCAGAACATTATCAAGTAGGGGCTCGTGGAATCCCAGAATCCGTTTCCAAAATCTTTGCCAGCCATTCTTTTGACAGAGACTACTATGTAGACTATATGAAGAACCCAAAAGCGCTAGTCACCTTCTAAAACCTGTTGCACGCGTGCTGGGAGTCAGAAACCTTTTTATTACAGCAGCTCCGTGGTTCGCAGCTCCACTCACGGCTCTGTGTGCACAGAAAAGCGGCATTGCAGACCCTTGGTGCCTGGGGACAGTCACAGGCGTGTTATGGGACAGATTCCAGTTCTAACCAGGAGAACTGAGGATGTGCCTCTATCACATAGCAAATTGTGCCAAAGTGTTGTTATTCAGATAGCAGAAGTTTTAGATCGGGATTACATTTCCTAGTTCGCTTTAAATCATTAAGAATGAGAGTCCAATAGGTATTTTCCTTTTTATGATAGTTACAGTGCTTTATGTTTTATCTGATGTTTCCATTCAGATTTTCCTGGTGGTGAGGCAGCTCAATTTCTATTTTTCCTCACAGGAAATTCTCAAAGACTTTTCAGAAAATGACTTCTCCAGCATAAAGATTGAATTTCAACAAATACTGAGAAATAGGAAAGAAACGACTTGGTTTTTGGAAGAGTGGCTGAGTACTCACTTTGACATAGAAAAGCTTAAAGATGGCATCCAGAAAGAAAACAATAGCATTGGTCAAGTGAACCACACCTACAATAACAAGATAACTGTGAGTGTGGATGTTTATGCTACTTCACCCTCGCTGTGCTTTGCTTTGATTTTTCTATCTCGTTTCTAGAATGGCTTGATTTTAAGTATGCTTTATTTACACATGCCGTATGAAAAACACTGAATTTGTAAAACATTCTTCCTGACACGTTATGCTTCCTTAAAATAATTAAGCAATGTATATAAATCTAAACTGTAAGGCAACAGGACCTCGGTGTGTGTAATTGTGATGGCAGTCCTCTATGGCCCCATTTTGCACATGCGCATGCTCTCGGTCCGTGCCTTGTCTTCCCAGTCTCTCGGCGCTGTCTCACTGTGCGCATTTTGGTGTGGAGAAAGCCCCTTGCCAATCACGTCTTTCCTAGATCCTGCCTTCGTGGTTGTGTCTGAAAATCATCGCCAGCCAAGGTCACCTGGGCTTCCCTGTTACCTGCCAGGAGTGTTAGCATTTTGCCCCTTGCACTGAAGCCCATGGTCCGTTTTAAGCTGTGTGTCGCTGTGCTGTTCTGCTGTTTGCAGAGGGCTTGCGGTCTGTGTCTGCTGTCACCTCAGTGAGCTCAGTAGGGTCATTGCAGAAACTTCCTCCGTGCTGTGTCAGAGACGAGCCGGCCAGGGATCTGTGCTCTGACCACTCCCGTGGACCTACACAGAACTCTTTTGCAGTTCCTGACACACAGGCTGCAAAGTTAAATTTTTATAACTCTTCCCAAGGTGACTGGCCCAGATAACTTGATTCCTAACAAGCAGCATTGCTCAAGATGAGCGTGTAACTTGCTTGCTTTTTGTGGATCAGTGTGTTTATTCTCTGACGCCATCCCTCCCGAGTGTGCCTGTAAGACACAGTGTCAGAGGCTGCTCCTGGGGTGTACTGAGAGCAGAGGGAGCTGGGTAACCGCAGCCTGCACATCGGCTTTACTCCATGTGTTTAAGGACTTCTCTTCTGACACTTGAATTTCATCTCTGAACAAATCATACTGAAATAAAGGATAATGCTTTTTAGGTTTAAAAAAAAAAAAAGTTTTCCAGTGAGTAGACCAATCCCATCTTTAGAATAGTCGTCAGCTTGTGATACAGCAATTGCCTCTCAAAAAGTATTCCATGGGCAGCAGAGGAAGGCACAAGCCAGCATTTGAATAAGGTAATCTCTATGTCTGGGTGCTGTTCTTGTAATATCGAGACGCAGCTGTGGGTATGTTAGAAAGTAGGGATCTCTCCACGTGGATCAGCCTGGATATGTGGCCTCTTCAGCACCCTGTGGGTAGGAATTGATAACTTCATGTGGTGCGAGGTCAGCAGACCAGAACTAAGGAGAGTCCAGGATGCAAGAAGGAACAACTTAACTGAAGATCCACTGAGCTGGTGCCTTCACATGCACCTGTAGTCCCAGTACTCGGGAGGGAGGCAGGAGGATTACAAGTTCAAGGCCAGCCTGAGCAGCTTAGCAAGAGCCTGCCTCAAAATTAAGTGGCAAAGAGGAACGGGGATGTAAGTCACAGTGGAGTGTTCAGTGCACAGTCCTACACACTGACCACAAAGCCCCGGAAATGATCGGTCAACCACAAGGCATTCATGATAAGTGCATGAAGTGTGCTCCGCAGGAAGTAGAAAGGAATGAGGAATTTCAGAGTCAGCCTTACACGTAGAAGAGTGTTGACTAAATGGTTTCCTCTACACAGGAATACAGCATTTCCAGCCTAATTAGCCAATGCCGGGTGAGCTCTTTCCCTGAAAAGCACAAGGAGTAGGGAGAGCGGGTGGGAAGCGGGTGCTGCTGAGCTCACTGTGTGCACTGCTCCTGCTGCCCACTTCCACTCCTCTCCGAGTGGCAGTGCCACCCGTCACCGTCTGCAGATCAGTGAGCCCTGCCCAGGCTTGCTCTGCTCGTTCCCGGGTCAGGAGAGAAGGCCTGGAACTGCAGGGAGCAGGCAGACCACAGGCACCCCCACGGTTCTCAGAGAGCCTGTTCCAGGGAGTGCTGACTAGCGGGCCTCGGCATCTCCGCTGTCCCAGAGTCCCGAGTTTTCTCACACCACGTGGTGCTTGCCCTTCTCCAGGCCATCATAAACGAGTCCACGGAGTTTGAGGAGAGAAGCAGTGCCAGGTGCAGAGAGTGGGAGCAGGACCTGGAGTCGGCGCGGGAGGAGAGCAGGGCGCTGGCCGCCTCCCTGGCGTTGGCCCATGGTGACCCTGCCTCACGGGCCAGTGGGAGTCCTCAGGCACCCCCAGGAGCTGGGCAGCTGACCACACAGGTGAGGCATGTCCCGGGCACACCCAGAACAAAATTGTGTGCTAAGCGGCTGTGTGTGTGTGTGTGTGAGATTGGCTGGGTTATTACATATGATTCAGTGATACTAATTGTAAAAATAAACTGTATCCAAGGTCTCCTTTTGGATTATAAAACAAGAAAATTATAGCTTAATTTAAATACCAGATTCATACAATATGGGTGTTATCGACGTTCATTATAAACTTCCTAAGTCACCTGGCTTTCTATTAATATGTAATCTCTATGCAGAACAAACACTAACTGGAAGAAAAATAATAGTCTAGCTTACCTGACTTTCATCAGTGCCTTCATACTGGTTATATACAGTCACAATAAAAATGTAAGGATGAACATATTGCAAGACTGTTCCACAGATTGACTTGTGTGTGAGGGTCATTGTACTATTTTTATAATCCGATCGCATCATTAGCTTCCCTCCGTGGAAGCTGGCAGACTTTGTCCAGCACGCTGCACTGCTGTATTAGCACACAAAACGGCTGAGTAGGGAACCAAGAGTAAGCTGAAGTTCGGGGATGGCGAACCTTTGAGAGCTTTCAGAGGTAGCAAACAGCCAGCTGTGACACACGCCATAGGATTGCTACCACCGGTATAGCTCACCATGTTTACCAAAACAAACAACTGGTGCTAAAACCAACCACAAGGTTAATCATTAAGTACCAGTGAAGAGTGGAAATCCTGCGTCCCGTGTTCTGATGCGCAGGCCGTTGTGTCATTCCGTCAGCTGATAGGGTGACACAGGGCCAAGATGAAGCCGGCCTTCCAGAGCAGTAACTCAGAAGCGGGAAGTCCAGCCTCCCTGACCCGAGAAACAGCCAGCGGGTGACGGGGTGCAACCTGCAGTCACTGCCTAGTGCTGTGAGCCTGCAGGAGTCCACAGGGAGAGGGAGCGGTGGGTGGAGTGCAGTGCAAGGTGCGTGCAGCTGAGGGGCTTCCTGTACGTTCAGGTCGCTGCCACAGTGTGTGATGTGAAACTGCAGGCTAGCCGCCTGGAGAAAGGCGAGGCTGGTCCTGTCTCCTTTCTGTCTACACGAAAACACATTCTAGGTGGGCCAACAAAAGGGAAGTGTGTGTGTGTGAATAATATGAGCATGAAAGAGTTATTTAAGATTATCCACAGGTAATTTATACTTGCATAAAACTCATAATCATGTAAATCTTCATTACATAAAATGAGATCTGTATCCATGAAAACAAAAAATGTGTGAGATTAGATATGTGAGTAGCAGCCGTGTGCTGTGTGCTCAAGTACCCCTGGAGGCGTGGAAGGGCTCCCTGGAGAGGGTTCAGTGGCCCCTGCTTCGGGGCCTCTGTGGGTCTCGGGTGGGAGACTTCATCTATGCCTTTGAAATTTTCCACCTTTGCATTTTTTAATTTCAAAACTAGTTGAAAAAAGGGGAAAGATACATTGTATGTATTACTGCAGGGAATCAGTTAACAAATGTATGCATATATGATGAACAGGAGCGTTAATTTCCACTGTGAGAGCCGTGTTGTTTGCTGAGCCCTGTGCTAACCATTAGACAAGGCGACCACTGCACTCTTCTCCATATCATTTAAGAATTTGCTGGCAGGTTTTATCAAATTTTGGCATTTTTTTTAACCCAAAAAGGTTCCTAGCTGAAAGAAATAACATGACCAGATTGATACCTGCTCTTAATTCTCTGTCCCTGTCAACACCACGTAGAGATGGTCCTCTGTGTACTGATTTCTGCCTTCAACACACACCTCATGGGTATGTACTTCCTCTAACAGAAAATTCAAGAACTGGAAAGTTCCCTGCGTGAAGCTGAAGAAAGTGCTGTGCGTAAGGAAGACGAGATTATAAAGTTGCAAAAAGAACTCAGAATGTCTGGTGATGTAATAGCAAAACTTCAAGCCAAAGTTAATGAGTCAAATAAAGTCCTTGAAAGAACAAATGACATGATCCAAGCACTTCAGGTAACTTCATTTTATAAATAAAAGTTGTTTCTTTCCAAGCTGTTATGTTTGACAGATAAAGTACTGCTGTGTTCTCTGTTACCACAACTTCCTAAAATCCCTGCAGTATCGAAATTCACTGTTCAAACTAAAATAAGTGAATGGATAAATAACCTGTAGTACATCCATACAGTAGAATATTATACAGCACTGAACAGAAATGAGCTATCGAGTCATGAAAATATGTGAGACTCTTAATGCATATTGCTAAGTGAAAGAAGCCAGTGTGAAAAGGCTGCATACTATACATTTCCCAGTATGTGACATATTAGGAAAGGCAGAAGGAGAGAACTGTAAAAAAGTTTGACATTTGCCAAGGGACGGGAGGAGGGGGAGAGGGGTGAGTTGGTAGCGCACAGGGAATTGCCCTGCAGCTGTGGTCATTAAGTGACTACCACTCTTGTCTCCTTCCTGTTCCTCAGCTCGGCAAACACCCATACTGGAGCTTGGTGTTAGTAACGGGAAGGGAAGGGAAGGCTGTGTGTGAGAAGGCACTGTGTTTGCCGTATTTTCTCTCCAAAACACTGATGGTTCTGAAGAAGAACAGACAGACAGTGTATGTGTTCATTTCTCTGGGAAGAAACCAGAGGTGTTTCTGCCCCTGGCCCAGCTGTCTTTCAGTAGAAAATGGCCTCATGGCCACTCCGGGGCCTGAGTCTGGGTCCGATGCTGTGCTCCTGTTGCTGCCTGCCAGAGTCCTGGGCCTGGCTCACTGGGCCGCCCGTCTTGTTACTCTGTCTTTCTGTCCCGTCGGTGTGTTGCTTTTGTTCATTGAAGAGGCACGTGTCGAAAGACATAATTATGTCTTTAAATCTAGCTTCAAATATACTTCGCATTAAATACCAAGTTACTGTCTGGTTAGAGTTGATGCTTCTCTTGGTTTTGGTGCATTTGTAGTTTGCTAGAGAAACTGAGTCTCACCATTGTACTCTTCTTAGGACAAACTTGCTTTGGGAGCGAAGCCATATAAGGAAGAAATTGAAGACCTCAAGACGAAGCTGGTGAGGTCGGACCTGGAGAAGGTGCAGACTGCCAAGGAACACGAGCGGGAGTACGTCTGTCCGTTCCCGTGTCCGTGACTGAAGGGGGCACTCGGGGCTGTGGGACGCGCACTTGTGTTCACGGAGCTCGCGTCTGACCAGTCTCTGCTGCTCTCCTCACCCCCTCTAGTGTAGGTGTGGGCCTAGTGTAGGTGTAGCCTTGGCTTAGAGGCCCCGGGCCCAGAGCGCCTGCTCTCGCTGGTTTACCTGTCCCCCACCCTGCGTTGGAGCAGCTCCAGAGTCCGAGCTGTGACGGTGGAGAGGATTTCCAACAGGGAGTGGGGAGACGTCAGGGGACTGCGCCTCGCGTGAGCACATGGCCGTGGCCAGGCAGACCTGTGGTCTTCAGCACAGTGGTCTCTGGGTTCCTTAAATATTCCCGGAGAGGTCTCCTGGCGCCCAATACTTCTCATGCTGCTTCATCTTCAGTAAGTGTCTGTGATGATCTCCAGGTCTACCTGAAGGCAGCGCCCTGAGTTCATGCTTCTGAGCAGCCTTGCTCCATAGAGCTTACCGTTTTGGGGAGCTTAACACTGCCGAGCTCCCAGTTCTAAAACGTTTATGAATTGTAGGGTACTCAGCAGATACTCATAGTGTTTGGGGTCGTTTTGTTTGTAGTAGTGAGAGTTGGACCCAGCTCCTCACCTGTGCTAGGTGATCTCTACTACTGCACCACATCCCAGCCCCTTTTAATTCTTCCCCCCCCATCGAGTTTATTGGTTCTTTTTAAGTATACAGCAGTTAGTTACATCCATCATTGGGATCTTGTACCTTTGCATGACAGGTCTTGGTTCTCATTTTTGCCCCTTGTCCCTGCCCTCCCTTCACCCCCTCCTCCCCTCCCTATTTACAAAAACTTTATTTCCATTTTTTTCATTTTCTCATATTTTTTCTTTTCCCTTCTTTCCCCTACCCTTCCCTATACCTTTAGCCCTTTTCTTCGGCCCCTTTTAATTCTTATTTTGAGAGTCTCACTGTGATACCCAGGCTCGCCTCAAACGAGATTCTCCTGCCTCAGCCTCCTAAGTAGCTGGGACTGCAGGTATTCACCACCACACCTAGATGCTTTCATAGCTTTTAAGAATGGCAGAAAGTCACAGTTTATCAGTGCTGATTAAGGTTTAAACCAACCATTTGTGAACTCTTCCATGGGAAACAGTTATCAAAATTTGACTTTGACTGCTTCTCCTTGGCCCGCTGCCCTCAAAGTCTGCTCTCCTGACAGCGTGAAAGGGGAACTGATTTTGTCTCTCATGTTCTTCTCCCTGTGCCTTTTTCCTGGAATCAGCCCAATTGTATTTGTTTTATAGAGCCTCTAATATAATTTGTTCAATATCCAATTAAAAGCTATTGTGCTTCCAATTTTTTTTTAGTTGATATCTCACTATTAAGAAAACCAGGCTGTTCCACAGCCAAACAGAATGCTCCCGGCGTGACGGCCTCCTGACCGCACAGGAGGTGACGTTTCCCAGCAGCGCCAAGACTGGGCTCCTGCTACTCACAGTGCTCTGCATACAGCACGTGAGAGCAGGACGTGCCTGCCAACAGTAATTGCTGGGTTTTTACACATTTGCGTTGTTACTCTTACTAGAATTACTTCTGCAAAAGCCACTGAAGACCATCAGAAAGAAGTAATACGGCTGTTGAGAGAAAATCTGAGAAGAATTCAGCAGGCCCAAGATACCTCGAGTAAGTACACAAAGCAGGTGTTTCCAGATCCTTCCGTCCTACTCAGCACAGTTTTGAAAACTGCAGATTGCACTTTTGTGTTGTTGCTAGATCTTTACTGTCTCCCTGTTTCTAAAGATCCCTCGCCACTGTGAACGGTGAGCTGGTGCAGAGCACCATCTGTAGCTTGGACTCCCGGGTATCTTCATAGGACAGTAGCAGTGTGGGCTGTGCCCGGAAAACTTGTGGGGAGAGAGTTAGGTGAGGAGTCTCTGATGCACAGGGCCGGGACGTTAATCTTGATTCATGGGTGACCATCAGGTTTGCGCAGGCTGGGGTCCCTTATCTGAAATGCTAGGCCCACAGATGCTTAGGGTTTGGGATTTTTCCAGACTGAGATATTTGCATAGATATGACCAGGTGTCTTGGGGCTGGGGCCTAAGTCTAGACACAAAGTCATGGATTTATGTTTATTAGACCCCTCATACACGTGGCCTGCAGATAATCGTATATAATGTTTCTAATAATTCTGTGCGTAGAGCCAGGCTTCCATGCAGTGGCCATCAGGAAGCAAAGCAGCCCAGCATCACTGCCCAGGGCCCTCCCAGAGTTGTCCCACATGGGGTGGCGGCAGGCTGTGAGTGTGGCTCCACCCTGGCAGTGCCCACGGGTCAGCAAATGTAGGTGGAGCCCTCAGAATGGTCCCCACCAGCCCAGGGGCCGTGGGAGGGAGGTGTGCTCAAGGGGGTGCAGCAGAGTCAGCTGAGGGCACCCCAGAGACGTCAGAGTGGGGCAGCTTCCAGGAGGGGTGGAGTGCAGTTGCCATAGTGACTCACTGTACCCAGAAGATGAGTGAAGTCCCTGCCCTGGCCTGGGTGCTTGCTCATAGTGATCTCGGAGCCTGGTGACCCACAGCCTGCCCAGAAGCCCCTGACCTGCGGTGGGGGCAGTGGCATCGTGCAGAACACGAAAGTGCTCATTCTGAAGAGCGAGCACCTGCGGCTGGAGAAGGAGCTGGCGAAGCTGAAGCAGCAGAATGAGCGGCTGGCGCAGCAGAGGGGCGAGCTGCTGAGGTGAGGGCGCAGGACCCCTCGGCAGGGGGCGGTCAGTCCTGCGCGCTGGGGAACCAGTCTGGAAGGCTGGCAGCGCAGCCGCTCACGGTGGCTTTGTGAACGGAGTTCTGTGTCCGGGAAGATGAGAGAGCCTGTGCCAGCAAGGTGCTGAGCCCTCAGGAGAAAGTAGGCCTTAAATAATCTCACAGATTAAATAATGCTCCCAGTGAGGGCTCTGAACAAATGCAGAACTGAGAAGAACGTGAGAGGGTGCAGCTGTGGGACGGCAGTGTCCGTGTGATAGAATGCTGACTTGGCCCTGCGTGTATTTGACCATGAGCGAGGCCTGAGCCATCTTAACAGTGTCCTGGTTTTGTTTTCCTGCACTCCAGCAATAACCAGCAGCTGTCTAATGAGCTCAAGGCCTGGAAGGAGAAAGCCGGCAAGCGGGAGGCTCACTGCAAAGTGAGCTGTGAGGCTTTGCCCAAGTCGCCTGCTCGGGTGCCGGGAGCAGGTGCCACGCGGAGGCCCAGCGTCCCTGCCCAGTGTAGAGAGCGGACCTCGCAGGACCCTGTGCCCCAGGACTCACCCAAGTCGCGATTTTTTGACCCCCGCTCCAAATCTTTCCCGGCCCCGCGTCCAGCTCACTACTTTGACAACTCGAGCCTAGGCCTTTGCCCAGGTGAGACCAGCTGTTGCCTGGAAGCAGGTGATATGGGTGGGCGGGTGGCTGTGCCACCCTGGTGCCCAGTTCCATGGCGAGTCTTCTTCTCCAGGTGTAGCGCTCAGTGCAGCCACCTTACCCAGGGGAAGTCTTTACTCTGCCCCCGCTTCATTGGGTGGGAGACAGGCAGCTTTCACGGAGACACAGAGCTCCTGCTCAGAAACAGACACCTCTGTTGGGTCCCTCGCGGCTGTCCTGGCCGCCGCTCACTGCGGCGTGATGTCATGTCGCGAGCCCTGCTCCGTATCCCATGTTGGACTCGCATGCAGCGCGGTCCCTGCCCACAGAGATCGCACCCTCGGGTCATCTGCAGGTCTGGGACACGGGGCTAGTTACGGTAGGGGCGAGGCCAAGCTGCATGCGCTCTGCCGCTCCCCGCCTGGTGGCCTCACTTAAGTGGGTTTGTGGGCTTGGCTGCCGTGAGGCTGAGCATCTGTGTTCAGAGCACAGTCCGAGGGGCCCGGACTGGATCCATCCGGAGAACTGCAGAAACCTCCCTGAGGGAGGGTGCGCTGGGGCAGGGACCAGTGGGTCTCCGGACTGGCCGGGGAGTGAACCTTAAAGGCTCAGCCGAGGTACCACGCAGCTTCCCCAAGTTGTGCCTCGTGTCTGACTCCCACTTCCGCACGGGTCCCTCTCTGGACTCATTTGTTTTCCTTTGTTTTCTCAGAGGAGCAGGCTGTGGGCACAGAGAACGTGGACCCCAGGTTCCTGCCCAGTGCCCCTCTCAGGGACACACCGGAGTGCAGGATGCAGTAGGCCCTCCGCCAGTAGGCCCAGCCTGCCGGGACCCGGGCTCACCGCGCAGCCCTCACGGTGGTGTCAACGTCCAGCAGAAGCTCGGCTTGGTGCTCACTTGGTCACTGCGATTGGAAGATGAAGGAACAAGAATCATTGAGAATGACAGCAAGACCTTCTTGCATGTGATGCTTTTAAATGTTGGCCTGTTTTATTTATTTATACAATGTAAAATATAAAGTTACTGAGGGAAATTTCAGCCTGTCGGCATAGGCACAAAATATACACAGCTGTTATTCACATATGACTTCTACATGAACAAAATTATAAAGTCCTTTTTAAGTCACTTGCACCTTGAATAAATGTGTAATTCTGAGTCACAGTTCTGTGCAGCATGAATGGTTTCTCGGTGAGTCTTGTCCTCTGCTCTTGCCGACGGTCAGGAAGTTGTGAAAATACACGACACACTCACTGGATTGCAGTTCGTAAAGGGCAGCAGGGCCTGCGTCCTCACTTCCATCCCTGATGTGCTGTCAGCGCCTTGCCAATCCTGTGCTGGCTCTGGGGCAGGCTGGGTTCTGTCAGGCTCCGTGCCCTGCACATTGCACTCCCAGCTGGAAGACACTCAAAAGTGTGTATCCTACCACTCGTGTCAGACCGGAAGCAGAACCGGAGTCCCTGCCAAAGCCTTCTGACCCAGGTTCCGCGGACACAAGGCTCACATGGACAGGCTCCATGCATCTGTGAGATCCCAGATCTCGTGATCTTGGGTGAGGATCCATTCACACCATATCGTATTCTTAGAGATATCTGCAGCCCTGGAACAGTTCAACAACTATGGATCTAGGGAGCACCTAACACAATCATGCCATGGTACTTGACTCCTCTGAAACTCGATGCATTTTGACACCAAAATTTTGTCCCAGTACCTGTCACTGGTGTACTCAACACACAAGCTGGAACTGGCCACTGTTGATGCCTCATGACCCACTGCCCTTGGCATCTGAAACTCTGGTACAGGTCTTCTGTGGCTCTCCTGAGGCCTCTGGAGTTCAATGGACAGAGAGGACACAGGTGCCGCCATATTGCTCTGTCACATGACTGTGAAACACCAATTAAAATGGCCATACTCAAGGTCATCCAAAGGGAAAGTGACATCAAGGCAGCCTTGGCTCTTAGGTAAGTTTTATTTGAAGAGAACGAATTGTGTTACATGATAAGCATTATTTTAAAGGCTGTGGGCTGAATATTTTCCCTAAGCATGCTACCATAGGAACTCGCTCACACCTAGGGGAAATAATCCCTGTGTATCCTTTTCTCCTCACACCTGGCCCTCAGAAGTCCAACTTCTCTCCTCATCCTAACAAGACAACGTAACTGAGCTGCGTGTGTGGTCCTGATGTTTGCTCCTCCACTGAACAAAAAGTAACAAAGTAATGGCAAAGTCTACCTGAACAGGACACTGCTGTAAGGCCATTGACAGTTTGACTAAGCCAGGTGTACACATTTCTCATTCCAGCTGCTCGGCTGTCTGAGGCCTGGGCAACTCAGTAAGATCCTTTCTGAAAATTTTTAAAAGGTGGGACTGTGTCTGTGGCAGAGTGCCTACCTCAAAAGCACAAGGTCTTGGGTTCAAGCCCCAGTCCAAGGACACAAAAATATGTATGTATTAACAGCTTTTTCATCACCGGGAGAAATGCTTGGCACAACTTCTAAAGCAAGAGAGATTTATTTCTGCTCATGGTTTCAGAGGTGCTAGTCCATGGTCAGCCAACCAAGGCAGAAACAGTGAGGCAGAAAAGCATGCAACTCACAAAAATAAGGAGGCAGAGCACCCTGAGGAAGGGACCAGATCTGTCCCCAAGGTCACCCTCCATGGCACACACAGACACACCCAGAGTGTGCTTTCTGATCTCAGTCATCTCACACAAATCAGGTTAAAAGGCAAGATGAACCATGACAACCAGGTGTGGTGGTTCATGCCTGTAATCCCAGCACTCTGGGTATTTGAGGTAGAATTACAAGCTCAAGCCCAGTCTCTGGGCAACTTAGCATGACCCTGTCTCAAAGAATTAAAAATGGCTGGGGTTGTAGCTCAGTTCAAAGGCCTTTGGTTCAATTCTCAGTACTGAAGAAAAATACATACATATTAATAATATAATTCCTTCAAATAATCTCTTGTACTTCCCACAGCATGTACACTGGTCCTCTTGAAAGCATCCCATAGTCCCTGAAGCTTTCTCCACTTTTCGTGGCTTTTTTTTTTTTCCTTCTCTGAGTAACTGCAGCTCTCCTTTCTTCAAGTCTGCTAATTTTTCTACTTGATCAAAATCTGCTGTTAAACCTCTTTAGTGAATTTTTCAACTCCTATTCTTTAGTTTCCAAAATTCTGTTTTGTTCTTTTTATAGTTCTTCTGTGTTGATATCCTTATTTTTATGCATTATTTTCCTAGTTTGTGTTCTCTTACTACCAAACTTCCTTACAGTGATTATTTTAAATTCTTCATCAGGTGACTCATAGATGTCCATTTCTTCCAGGATTCATTTCTGGTTACTAATTTTTGTGCTTTGATCGAGCATGCTTCCCTCCTCCTTCGTGTCGCTTGTGATTTTTTCCCCCTTTAGTTTTATTCGTGAAAAACAGCCAGCTGGGTGCAGTGGCTCATGCCTGGATTCCAGCTACTCAGCCAAGGCAGGGGTGTCACTTCAGTTCAGGAGTTCAGGACTAGTCTGGGCAGCACATGAGACAAATGAGAAGTGTAAAAGCAAATGAACTGATTTTGTACGGGGAATCATAACAAGTCAGGACAATTAGAAATTCAAGGGGCTCCCAAAGTCTTTCAGGTGTTGTATTCAGCCTCTAATGGCTGTGCTGTAATTTCCCAATTAGAGACATGTCTTAGTTACTTTTCTCATTGCTGAGACAGAATGTCTGACAGCCGAAGTTAAAGGGGGACAGGTATATTTGGTTCATAGTTTGTAGAAGTTTCAGTCCATAGTTGGCTGGCTCCAAGGCAGGCTGGCATGGCAGAGTAGCATAACAAGGAGAAAGAGTTCATGGCAGGCAGAAGGCAGCAAAGTGGTGAAGCAACAAGTAGCAAACCTCTTTCTGTCCTTTACATCCTATCCACGCTCCCCATCCTTGGGGCAGGTAGCCCTCACACCCAAGGTAGGACAGCCTTAATTCTAGCATTGCATCATGAATCAACCTCAGCCATCACATCTTTAATCCCAGAATCACACACCCTAGATCCAGCCACCTCCAAAAAGCCCTGTGTATGACTGCGTGAGGCTGTGGGTGGCTGCTAGACACAGCGGTAACAGGAGGTTTTCTGCTTTCTCTTATTCTCTGGTGCTATCTGCAGCAATGCAGCTTCCTGTTGCAGTGACCACTGGCTGCTCCCTCTCCTTTCTTCTCGATGGCTCACAGCCCAGCTAGGCCTTCACCTTCAGCTCTCCAGACTTCATGAGACACATAGGAGCCTTTCACGAAGCTCAGGGAACTCAGAACTCCAGACACACCAGCCCATCCCACCCATCCCAGGATACAGCTGCAGTGTGGGCACTTCCTTGGTGACTGTGCTGGGCTGTGCTGCAGAACTGCCGGTTCTGCTGCCACAGGAAGCTGCCAGGCGGGCCACCTGCACCTGTTCTGTCAGAGATGGAGTCAAGGGGGCAGAAGCCAGCACTCTGAGCAGCTCCCAGCGGGGACACAACACGAGTCCCACCCTCCTAGTCTGGGCAGCAGCTTCTCTTGGATGTCAGGGAGAGAGAGTCTCAGGAAAATGAACCAGCTCCTCCCGCCCACCTCAGAGGGGTGTTCTGTTCTGCACCGCCCTGAGGCACCGTCACTTCTTTTCTGGTTCACAGAGTCCCCATAAGGGGATCTGGGTCTGAACACAGTTGTTTGGCCGTGACTTGTGGGGGTAAGGGCCAGGGCTTCCTTCTCTGCCATCCTGCCGACATCTTGCTGCAGCCCCCCAGAAGGCAGCTCGATGCTCATGATCAGAGTCTCTGTGTCATGAGGAGCGATTGCAGAGACACTGAGCGATGCAAACCAGCAACAGAAGCTTTTGAGAGATTAAAAAGCAGCATATTCAGACTCCAGTGAATGGAGCTTTTCAAATGCAGGCGACTTCCTCCCCCTTCCCTTTCATCCCCATCTGGGCTCTGAGTCCACTGGAGCCGCCTTGGCAGCCAGGACTTCCGGTCGCAGCGCCACTCCCACCCGATTACCAAGCGCTGCTGTACCACCCAGCTCCCGATGGACAGCACAGGTCAAACAGTGGCTCACGACACCATGTCACAGATGAGAAAGCCCAGAGTCTGGAGAAGAGCGCTAGCTCACTTTCTTAGCGGGGACTCGAGGGGCCTGCACGGGGTTTTCTGCCTCCATCTCTAATTCCTAACCACTGAATGCTGAGCATCACTTCGCTCCAAGTGACACAACAAACCTGAAATCCAGCCACCGGAGGAAGCTTGTTTACTGCAGTTCAGTCCAGTGGAGTTGACCCGAGGTGGGTCCAGGGCCCTGCTCCTTCTGGGCTCTGTTCTGGCCTCACAGCAACCACACACTGGCTGTGCGGGGGGTATGAGGAGCTGTGTGGGTGTTCGGGAAGGGGGCGGGCGACCGAGACATGGAGGGACGAGAGGGGACAGGGATGGAAGAAGGATGCAGGCGTGTGATGTCTGGGTACCAGCTCTCACAAGGATTGTGATCATCACATGCTGCAAACATGCTCTAATAAAAAGTGAATAAAATACGCTTTACAGAACCCAAGGTGGCAGCACAGAAACCGCAGTCACCGCTCTTGATCACAGGCACGTGCGCCAGCCTGGCCCAGTGGCTCCCGAGATCTGGTCCTGCTTGGGGTCTTTGCCTGTGTCCTTAGGGTCTTGCTGTTACCCAGCATATTCGTCCTTGCAGGCCTCTGGCTCCATCTCTCCAGCCTCAGAGCAGACGGGCTGAGGGCGTCCTGCCAGCACTGTGTGGTAGAATCAGAACACACCTGGCTGACACCTCAGCGGGGGCTCTTCCTGCCTGGAAACAGCCTGGGCCCAGGGCTCATGAGGATCCGAATCTTCCGTGGTCTGGGCTCCTTCGCCTCCCTGCCAATCCTGACCACCCCGGAACAGCACTGAGGGGCACAAAGGAAGGAAGTTTTGTTTGCACTTCCTCGGGAAGGGATTCTTCCCAGCTTTCCTTTTCCTTGACGTGAAGTTCCACCTGCCACCAGCAGGTGGCAGCTCACACCAAGTGAACGGCTGGTGAGCTTTTCGAAAACTAGAGAAAGGCGAGCTGGCCGGGCTTGTGGACGGATCCTGAACTACAAGTCCCAGCATGCGTCGCTGAGCACCTGACTAGCTTGAGCGCGAAGAGCTGCGCTTCGTTTCTGCCGCGGACTCGGTGGATGTTTGCGGCTCCCGGAGGTAAGATTTCCTTAGAGTTTCACAGTGAGCTCCAGACTGGGCAGGGGAGTCTGACTTTCAGGGCTGCTGTGCGCGGTGCCCGTCCCGATTTAATCTCAGCAGGCCAGGACGAGTTGTAACCAAGCCTGAACGACTTCGAAACTCTCCCCCAAGTTTGTCAACGTGGCCAAAGAAAAGGGAGATTTGTCTTGCGTCTTTTTTTGGTACCCGGGACCGAACTCCGGTCCTTGCGCTTACGAGGCAGGCGCAGCCACTGAGCTAAATCCCGGGGTCAGAAAAGGGAAATTTGACAGCGTCTGCTTGCGGGAACATTTTACTTTGTGGCTCATGAGTTCCTGAAAGTGTTCTGTGTGTCTCCGCCACCTAAAAATTACCATGTTAGTCCCAGGAGCTCGTTGGAGAGCCAGGTTGCTGCTGAGAGTCGCTGACTCCTTACCCTTTCTTTGCACCCGATTTCCCAGGAGTCGGGGGACACCGGGTGCTCAGCGCCTTCTTCAGGGTGCGTCCTTCCCACAGCGCGGCCTCTCCAGGGCCGGTCGGGGTCACGGTCAGGTTCCTCGCCTTCCTGACGGACCTGCGTCCCCAGCGGGGGATCCTTGGTGACCACGGGAGGGGGCGGGACGCCTGGGAGAGGAAGCGGGGCTCCTCGGGCAGCTCCGCAGGGAGGCTGTGCCGGGAGCTGCTGCTGGGGTGATCAACACCTGTGCCCCTGCTCCCCGTCTTAGAGAAACCTCTTCCCCGCCTTGCCGGCCTCCTGTGCGACAGGCGCCCCAGGTTCATGGATCAGGCCCATGACATTTGGACGGAGACTCCTGAGGCCTTTCTTCTTGAGCAGAAAGGGAGGCCTCCCTGAAAGATTTGGCTTTGCTTCTGCCTGGGATTTAGGGACTATGCGTTGGGCCAGGGCAGCCACTTTGTGACTTGGGGTGAGGTCAGGACAGAAGGAAAGGTCATGCGACACACACAACCCATCGCCCCTGTCCGCCACCCGCGGTGCAGCCCCGGCTCCCGGCTTCCCCCAGGGCGATGCCCCGTAGCGTCGCCACTGCCTGGTGACCCGCAGCGAGAGCAGTCAGGAAGCCACGGCTTGGCTCTGCCTGCGGCACTGAGTGGCCGGGGCCTGAGCAGGTGCGGCTTCCTGGTCCGTGGAGTGGGAATGCGGGACATGAGCTGATTTCCAGCCCCTTTGGTTCGTGAATCTCTGCGGCCAAGTACGGAATGGCCGCAAGGGACAGGAAAAGCACACTCGGTGATGCTGCGAACCCCCGACGTGGCGAGGCAGCCGGACCATCGAAGGGTACAGGGCGAGGGCTGGGCAACCTGCACCCTCCGCGGATGGAGCCGGGAGGGCTGGCCCAGGCTCCCGAGCCGAAGTGACAGCCGCAGACGTACCCCATCCTTGACCCGCAGGTCCCCATGGGCAGACTGGACGGCAAAGTCATCGTCCTGACTGCGGCGGCACAGGGAATCGGCCGAGCGGCCGCCCTGGTGAGTCCTGTAACTCGCTGCAGAGCTTTCTGGGGTCACCAGTGCGGATCCGAGCTCGGGGTCATGGACATCAGGCCACCTGTCGCCTCCCCATCACCCCCACCGGAGCCGCTGAGGCCCTCAGCAGACGGTGGCGCGGAGGCATCCATGTTGTGCCCAGGAGGAGAAACTACCCTTTTCCTCTGGCCTGTCTCTCCTCTTTCCTCCCCTCTTTCCTTCCTTCTCATTTCTCTTCCAGTCCTCGGGATTGGACCCAGGGCCTTAGCACATGCTAGGTAAGCTCTCTGTCACTGGGCTATACCCCCCAGCCCTTTTATTTTTCACATGTGACAGGGTCTTGGTAAATTTCCCAAGCAGGGTGGAATTTGCAATCCTCCTGCCTCAGCGTCCTGAGAAAGTGCGATTCTAGAGTGCACCACAGCACGCAGCTACGTTTCCCTTATTTGGGGTTTAGTTACCTGCTCAGAAATGGTGTATAGGGCTGTGATAATAGACCGGCAGTATTTGGGAAATATTAAAAATAGAATTACAGTTTTTTGAGAAAGTTTCTGTTCCATATTAAAAGGACAAGCACGGTGTGTGTCACACTGTTCCGATGAATGATAAAAACAACAATGGGGTGGGTGGTGAGGCTGGATAGTTTGAAATTCCACCCATGTTAATAGGGAAAACAGCAATGAAAATAAGCTGAAAGAAGAGAAACCAGGGATTTGCATTTCTGCCAGCGTTGCCCAGGAAACAAAGAGTGTGTTTGTGCTCCCTGTCCCCAGGCTTTTGCAAAAGAAGGCGCCAAAGTCATCGCCACGGATATCAATGAGTCCAAACTCCAGGAGCTGGAGGAGGGCCCGGGTAAGCAAGGCGGCCGGCCGGGCCAGAGTCTGGGGTCACGCAGCGGTCCTGCGGCTGAGATACCTTCGGAGCTTCAGTTGCTGGCTGCCAAGTTACATGGGAAAATGTTCACTATTAATGACACCTTCTCTCCGTCCCCCCCCCCCAGGAGGAGTATGATGTGAGCTTCGAGTGTGCGTTTGCAGATCCCCTCATAGACACATTAAAAAGCAGAAAGAGACAGGTGGAGATTAGTTTTGATCCTATATTTATTTAGCACAATATATTTAAACTATCATCACCTCAACATGTAGTCAATATTAGAAATTATGAAGAGAAGATTTTACCTTTTGTCCTAGTACTTCTATGTAAACTATGTAAGCTTTCAGTCATTAATTTCTTATTTCCAGAGTTCCCGACGCATAGTCAACACATAAAACTTGTGAATATGCAAGGTGTCCATGTTATATATGGGAGCTAAGGATTGGAGCCATGGCCTCAGGCCTGGTGAGCAGGTCTCTTTTTTTCTTTCTTCCTGTTTGTTTTCCTTTGTTCCTGGTTCTGGGGAGCAAGGCCAGGACCTTCCCGAACCAGGTGAGCCTTCACTGAGCCCGGCCTGGCCCGGCACTGTGTTTGGCTGCACAGCAAGCAACAAGGCGTGAACGATCGATCCCAGGGTCATTCACAGACGCACCTCGTGTAGCTCCCTCTGTGTGTCTGTGTGTCTCTGTGTGTGTCTGTATCTCTGTGTGTGTCTGTCTCTGTGTTTGTCTCTGTGTGTCCCTGTAGGTCTGTGTGTCGTGAGAGTCCTTGCTGCCTGCCATCATGGCTGATTTTCAGAGCGCAGGACATGAGTATTATCTGCCCCCACTGTGCTGATCCCGAGTCTTCAGAGTTTACTCACTGTAGCCCTGCAGCCTGTGGCTTTCTCACCTGGTCTTCCAACCCCGTGTCTGCTTTCTGTCTGCACCCCGCAGGCTGAGCCTGCCCCGCCCTGGTGCCCGCTAGCTGGACACAGCTAGCAGCTGCCCGAGCGAGACAGCCTGGCCCCAGTCCCGTCCTGCGGGCACAGCTGAAAGGCGGCCCAGTGACCAGGGACCCCCAGTTCTCGGGGGAGGACCAGTCCTTTGGGCAGCGACTGAGCCAGTAGGGCTCTGGCAACCATGGCGGGTTGCCCTGGAACAGCTAGGAGGGGAAGAAGTCTTTCTGAATTCGAATGTCAGCCTTATTTTCTTTATTAACCTTTTCCCTATACATCCAAAAGAATCCTTAAATAAGCCATATGTATTTATTTTATTTGCAGTACTGGGGACTGAACTGGGGCCCCTCACACTGAGCTTCATCCCCTTTTTATTGTTTTGAGGCAGGGTCTCACTGAGTCACTAAGCTGCCCAGGCCTTGCTTAATCTTACAGTCCTCCTGCCTCAGCTTCCCAGAGTGCTGGGACCACAGCCACATGTCCCCACGCTCAGCCATACACAGTTGTTGTTTGTGTCGGGGAATATCAGGAACTTTTCAGTAACCAGTACAGTGCCTATCTCAGACCCAGTGCTGGGCCCTCCTGGCCAGCCTTTGACCAAGAGTCATTTCTAAAAATAACAGGAAAGACAAAAAAGCAAAGCTGATGAATAGAAACAGCTCCTGCCCCACCGCTGCTCCCCTTCCTTCACCCCCACTCCCACAGAACTCTGGACCCTGCACCCCCACTGACGGCTGCGGCCGGTCGTAACTCCCGGTAAAGTAAGCTACTCCCAAGACCCTCATAACGCAACTCTGAAACAGAAAAGGGGGGAAAGGGATGGGTGTATTGTTGGGGCTGTCCGTGTGGAATTTTAAAGCTGGGAGTGGTGGCACAAACCTATAATCACAACACTCTGGGAAGCTGAGGCAGGAGGAGTCCACCTTTAAAACCATCATGGGCAACATAGCAAGACCTTGTCTCAAAATAAAAATGGGGTTGAGGGGTGTGCCAGAGATGTAGCTCAGTGCAGAGGCCCTAGGTTCGATCCCCAGTACTTGAAAACAGGAGATTGTAAGATTTTTACATTTTAATGAGATTTTGCATTTTAGTAGATTAAATGGCTAAGACCATAGTGTTCCAGAGTTCTCTGCAGCCTGACCAAACAGCGTGGCCCTCCGTACGCCACACATCGTGGAGGTTAAACCCTTTTTGGGTGGTAGGTGACAGAGTCTTGTTGTCCTTCAGGTATCCAAACCCGTGTCCTTGATGTAACGAAGAAGAAACAAATCGATCAGTTTGCCGAGGAAGTGGAAAGAGTCGATGTTCTCTTTAACGTTGCTGGGTAATTTAGACCTTCTGATTTCACTTTCCTCTCAGAATATTTTCAGCTACTTTCATTAAGATCAGTTTGATGGCATGGCAAAGTTCCTCTCTGTGGACCATGCTGTGCTCTTTGGAAAACCCCGGAGATATGGGACAGGTTTTGCTCACACGAGTTGGGGAGTAGGACTGCCCCAGGGGGTGCTGTAAGTCCGGCTAGGGCAGCCAAGCGGGTCCACGGGAAGCAGCGGTTTCTGACCGGCCCCTTAATAAATGCCCCGCTTGTTCTCCCGTAAGAATACATCCGAGCGTGCAGTGAACACAGCAAATTCAGACTGGGAGCTATCTCAGCCTGCGGGCAGGGATTAGAAATAGTTCAAAGTTCTGCCCCAGGAGGACAGGAAGTCCTTGCAGAAAGTGGAGACCCTGGTTAAGGACATACTGCGGGTGCAGAGGAGCCAATCAGCGGGGGTGCCCATGTGCTGCTTGTCGGGCTCTGTTCTGTTCCTCCTCCTCCTCCTCCGCCCCACTGCGGTAGAAGAGACCCTGGCAGTGCTGCTCGGAGCCCTGAGATGCTGATTCTCGGGCTTTGAGCTCCCTGGAGGGTGTTTACTCTGTGGCCGCCAGGCAGCGCTGTTGCTCTTAAAATAAGAACAGGAAGGCGGATGTCCTGGCTCGCTGTTTTCCTTCATGTGTCCAGTGCACCTGGTACACGATTCTTAACGTTCAGTGACCCCCAGACTCGCTTGTCTCTAGAAGGGTGTTGTTTTACCTTACACCGCTGGAATCTGTACTAACACAGTTGTGCTCCCTGTGAACTGTTGAAAGTCTTTAAGAGAAGAGATGTTGGCTTAGTTAATAATTAACAGCACAGGGCCAGGGATTTATCTCAGTGGTTCGGGTGCCTGCCTAGCAAGCACAAGGACCCAAGTTTGATTGCCGGTACCAAAAAATAATGATAATAATTGACAGCGCAGGGTTGGAAACCTTTCTGGTGACTGTTTGGTTGCTGTCTTTGGAGTTCCTTGGTCTTGTCTTCCGGCGTTTCATCCTTCTGCATGGCGCACTGTGGGAAGTTGTGCCCAGAGCCTCGAGAGTGCCAGGCAAGCACTCTGCCACCGCTCTGTCTGCTGTTTAATCATCTTCCAGATTCGTGCACCACGGAACCATCCTGGACTGCGAGGAGACGGACTGGGACTTCTCCATGAACGTCAACGTGCGCGGCATGTTCCTGATGATCAAGGCCTTCCTGCCCAAGGTGGGGCCCCTGCCTGGCAGCACACAGACAGCTCCACCCTGGGCACCCAGAAGGGACCACGTGTGCTGGAAGTGATAGCAGCCCCACGCACATCTCAGCCTGTAGTGACAATCTGTGCAAGCTGTCAGCTCACTCCTGCAAGGGCTCTGTCCTAAAGGGGGACTGCAAGGAACAGTCATATTTTATCACATCCTCTGAGGTGACACAGAGAGGTGGGAAGCTGCCAAAGGTCACAACGAGCCGTAGTATCCAGGCACAGGCTTTCAGGACCGATATCCCAGCCTCTGGGTGAGCCCAGCATCGGCCCTGCTGCCAGTTAGAACCGAGCCCCGGTGAAGTGGGAAGGGAGGCTTCCCTCCACTGCAGCTGGATTAGGAGACCGGACAGGCCGGAAGGGAGCTCTGCAGTTGGCACAGCCGGGCTGATGGGTCCTTTGCTCCACTGGTAATGGGGAGATTTGCACTGAGCTGGTACTGAAGTGCTGTTTTAATCTTGTTTTGTGACTGGAAGACTTGGAGGGTGTCCCAGGGGATGCTGAACTAGCAGTTTTTTTATACGCAAGTTAGTCTTTCGGCCTATATAGAAGTTCTGAAAATCTAACGTATTGGGAACGTGAGTGCACTCTTTGAGACAGGACATGGGGGCGGGGTGGAGGCCCTGGAAAGAGGGGAGAGCTTAGGTCATCCCGGGGAGGGCTGCCACACACGTAAGGGACTCCCCACTGCAGCTCTGATATGCACCCCAAACGCTAGTCAAGGAAGCAGGTGTGGGATACAGAGAGGCTGAGCTTTAAAATGTGTTAACTTTTTTAATGTATCGATGCCAATTTGTGGTAGTGAGATCCCTTCACCGTAAGACGTCCAATAATATCTGCTGGAGGCAGTGACACACATCTGCGAAATGGCCAGAGACATTTGTGACCGGGGTGTAGAAGCAGAAGGATTCCATGCCACATGTAAAGTGTGACTAACCGCCCTGGACCATGGACTCTGGCATCAAAAGTCCAGGACAGGGCTGGTATTTGGCTCAGTGGTTCTGCTGCCTGCCTTGCAAGTGCAAGGTCCTGAGTTCAATCCCCAGTACAAATCTGGCTCTGTCCCAAATCAGCCAGGGCCCTGGGGCATGGCTCAGGCTCTCTCTCGGTATTTATTTCTTCTGTCTAAAAGCAAGGGTGGTAGATGGCACAGTCACTTCCAGCCCTGATTTCCTAGGGGTCCCTGCATGTGACTAACAATAACATACACTGACTAGACTGGAGCTGTGGAGGGGACCCATGGTTGAAATGTAAGGTTGGCTGAGCACAGGACACTTGAAGATGTTTTATGCTTGTGTGTAGATGCACAGGAAATCAGTGCAGGACTGGAAGATCAGTCAAAGGGCGGAAAACAAGTTGAAAACACTATAAAAAGAGGGCAGTGCAAGCCAGGCATGGTGGCACATGCCTATAATCCCAGCACTCGGGAGGCTGAGGCAGGAGGATCTCTATGAGTTTGAGACCAACCTGGGCTACATAGTGAGTTCCAGGTCAGTCTCTACTACATAGTGAGACCCTGTCTCAAAAAGCCAAAAAGAGGGGAGTGCAGAAGCAAGGTCCATTAGGTGGAAAGACCCTTTAGGGCTGAGATTGGAGAATGCCTTTGTTGTTTGGTTTGCTTGTTGGCTCGCTCCCCTTGCTGTGTGTTAGAAGAGTCATTAGCGCGTGAATATTTGGTGACCGGATACATTCAGTGATTGTCCATGCAAGTGGTCAGGCACTGGGCATGGAGACGGAGGTGCCAAGATCCGCTGAGGCTGGGTGCTGAGCTCTACCACTGGGGACAGGAGGCCTGGGCGGAGTAGAACTAACTAATACACGGGAGGGGTTCTTGGGGGGACTTTCTACCTGCACCGCGGTTTCCAGGACACACAGCGTGACTGTGTGTGGCATCGTGTGCTGTAGCTGGCCCTGCCCGAGGGGCCGTGAAGGGGAGCTGTCCATGTGGGCACTGTGTGTCTTTGAATCTGCTGGGCCTTGCACAGTACCTTGCACATGCTCAGGAAATACGTGTGCAGTGCACCAGTGGCTTCGCAGCAGCAGGCACTCGCACTGATGTTCCCTTTAGTTCGGATTCCTTCCGGTCGTCCTGGTGCTCTCATCCCGTAGCCAGGTGGTGGCACCGTGTGGCAAGGCTGGTGAGCGGGCACACTGCAGGCCGCCAGGCCCGGCCGCGCTGTTGACAGCCATGGGAGGCCAGGTGGCCAGCAAAGCACAGCGGAGGGGAGGATCCGGAAGAGGGCGGTTCAGGATGCGCCGTGGAGTGACAGTGATGCCTTCTGTGTTCGTCTTGGCTTCAGATGCTCACTCAGAAGTCTGGCAACATTATCAACATGTCCTCAGTGGCCTCCAGCATCAAAGGTGGGAACATCTCCTCTCAGACTCGCACACACACGCACGCACACAACCTCTGGGAGCTGTGCTTTAAGAATAAGCATAGCCCAGGTCATAGAACCCATCTATCAGTTCCAAACCGCTCTTTGAAAAATTGGCCCTAAGTCCCGTAACCATCAGACCCCTTGCTATGGATGTGAGCCCGTCATAAAATTAAAGTCTTTGCCTCCCCTTTTACTCCCTGTAATGGACGGGAATGCTGAGTAGCGGAGGGCAAGCTTTGTCGTTTAATTAACCCATGGTGACGTGCCGAGCTCATAGTAGGAGTTGGTCGTCCTCTGCTCCCTCCCAACCCCAGGCGTGGTGAACCGCTGCGTGTACAGCACCACCAAGGCGGCCGTGATCGGCCTCACGAAGTCGGTGGCCGCGGACTTCATCCAGCAGGGCATCAGGTGCAACTGCGTGTGTCCAGGTGAGTGGGCGCCACAGGACCCACGCATGGAAGGTTCGCTTGTGTCCTGTTGTCAGGTGTTCGGGAGATAGGTCCCCTGCCCACGGGACCCGCCCAGGTGTAAGTGAGGAGGGACGGGGAGCCCAGGCCGGCAGGCATGAGCCACAGGGCCACAGTTCAGGTGCTACCAGGCCTGTGGGACAGCTTGGGATCACGTGGAAAGGGCTTGTGACCTCGTTAGGGGAAGAGGAGACCATGTCACACGGCAGGGAGAAGGGGAGCAGAGCCTCACAGCGCCTGGGGCCTGCAGAGCCGTGGGGTCCCCTGGGGTTGCTCATGAGCAAAAAGGAGGCCCTCACTTTCTTTATGCCTGCCCGACTGCTGGCAGGTGCACGGAGGGGCACGAACACGCCAGGCGGCTGCTGTTGTCATGCTGCAGAGACAGAGCGAGTGGTACAGTGGACCAGAGGCTCTCAGAGCCAACATGCTTGCTCTCCATCTCTTTATTCAGAAGGCACCAAGCCTTCTTTTAAAGGAAAGAAGAAAGGCAGAGTTTTCATTGTCTTGGTGTCTGTGTCTGTGAGACAAATGTGCCTTTTACCTGGTCCCACCGATCCAAAATAAGTGCTGAAGACTCCTGACATCCTCTGAGGAGAAATACTGCAGGGCCAGCATCGGAGTTTTCAGCAGCTCCCAGCTGGGCCTGCGGGACCCTCCTTCTGGGGAAGGAATGGACGCAGCCTCCGGGAAAGGGTGGCCCTGGCTCCTGCGGGCACGCTGGTGTGGCTTGCGTCTGGCTATTCTTGGTGCCATTTGCCCAGCGGAATAAGTGGCAAAGTAAGTTGGAAAATGTGGTTGTTTCAGCAGCTGGCTTTTTTTATAAGATTGGAAAACATGTTCTCAAGCTCTATGAACAAGGAACCAGCCATGATTCACGGTGCCGGCCACAGAACAGGGCCGAGGAGGAACAGTGTGTCCGGCAGGGCTCAGGCGGCTCCGTGTCCCGCACCTCCAGCCGGATGGGTGTCCTCTGTGGCTCCGAGGGGCGGGAGGTGCCGTGGACGCAGCTGAGCCCAGTGGCAGCAGATTCATCCGACGGTGAGAGCGGGGCCCCAGAAGAGCCGTTAGTGGCAGCACCAAGTAACACAGTGTGGGTGCTGAGGAGAGCGTGCCTGCAGGCTGAGTGCGCTCTTGGTGAAGTTTTGGATTCCAAGGAGGCAGCTGACGAGGAAAGCCAGGAGAATATTGGGAACAAGATTCCTTAGCTTGTTCCTGCAGGAATGTGAATGCAGAAAAAGGCCCCAGTGGACTGGGTCTGATCTGCGGCCTTCCCGGGAGCGGGTCTGAAGGAAGAGCTGCGGGTGCGCGTGGAAAGTCATCTGTTACAACCTCAGAGGGATCACGAGGCCCTGTGGTCCCCTCAGGAGGACTGCAGGTCACACGAGTAACGGACGCTGCAGAGGCGTGTGGACTGAGTGTCATTTTAAAGCTTTAGTGTCATTCTTACTTTCCTGTTTTAACGTAAACAATTTTATACTATATTTGCTATTATAAACTCAAAGCTGTGATTCAAAGCTGGAATTTGACACCAATGAAAAGAGGCAACGTGAGGAAAATAGACTCACCTAAGTTCCCAAGGGGCTGAGGCCGCTCTGGAATCGTCCCCAGGGAGTCCCCACAGCGAACCTGGCAACAGATGAGTCTGACATGACTGAGTCAAGCTGGGTCTTGAACTGGCAAAGTGCTTGTGTGGTTTTATCTGTGTCCCGGGTTGTTGAGAGGACTCACTGAGATCGTACACATTAAAGTCCTTAAGGCCCACAAGTCATCTTGTAAATGCAGTGTGACTAAAATGTCTGTCCCTGAGAAGGCTGCGTGACTCCCAGGGATGTCACCAGCTCCTGCCACCTCAGCTGCATGTGCGATGGAATTACATCGGTGGCCCGGTGTACTTCTCCCTTGCTGCCGACCACCACCAGTGTCCTCTTTCTTCAGGGACCCCTAAAAGGAAGGGTCCCGGTGTGGACCACCAAAGTATCACCAACTGGTGGAAGGGTCTTCTGCTCAATTTGTATAAAAATCAAAAACTGGCGAAGTGTAGCTCTTAGAGTTTACAGCTCTGGGCTTTGACAACGAATGAACTCTTAGTGTCAGGGGCCCTTCTTGCTGCTCAGGGTAAGCGCTACTGACAGCTCTGGGAATCTCAGGCACCATGGTGACAGTTCCTGGCAACTCGCAGCTGCTTTGTTCTCTGGCTTCCAGCTTCTCTCGGTGTCACAGCCCTGGCTGTTGTTGGTTTAGCACTAGAGCCTCTGATGTCGCAAGTCCTTGGGGCACCAGCTCAGCACGCTCTGCTTAAGACAGAAATCACAAACAGGCAAAAAATATGCCCTGCAAAGGAGGTGTTGTCAGGGTGAAGGGAACAGTGTGACTGAATGTCACATGGCCCAGCGGGTGTGGAGATGTTGCTGAGACGGAGACGGTGAGCTTGCGTGTGCAGTGCCTGACTTCCTGTCTGCTCACAGATGATCACGAATACCTCCTGGAGCATCTCACGTGGCTGTGGCCCGCCGCGAAGTGTTTGGGGCAGTGGTGGAAGGAAAACTAAAAAGTATTTCCTGGGGAGCATCAGGCCCTTCACTGCTGTCTCGGTGTCACAAAAAAACCTAGACTGTGTTATTAAAAATCATAGTCATGTTGTGAAAGCAGTAATAAGGCTATAATAGGAGGTCAGACGAGGAGAGGTCAAATTGTCATTTCCAGTCGAAGGAGAAGGCTTTCAGTGATCATGTCATCCGAAAGGAAGTTTAAAGTTTAGCTATCAGTTGTTTTTGGTTTAATAAGTAACCAAGCTACACGCCCCCTTTGGTTTAGGAACGGTGGATACCCCATCTCTGCAGGAAAGAATCCAAGCCAGAGAAGATCCTCAAGAGGTATATTGAGCATCTTAACTGTCTTTAAGCTTTCGGTTAAAAAATGTCCTACTTCCCTAGAGTAACAGGAAGTAAAGTGGTGACCACGGGGCCAGGGAAGGGAGGGAAAGGCACTGCCTCGTGGGCACAGAGTGTCACACAGTTCTGGGGTGGGCATGGTGGCTGTGGTACACAGTGTGTGCTGAGCCCCACTGAACTGCACACTTCCTGTCCCTGACACGTGGAATGGTCTCTGTCACAGGCCCTGACGGATTTCCTGAAGAGACAGAAGACGGGGAGATTTGCGACCGCAGAAGAAGTGGCCCTGCTCTGTGTGTACCTGGCTTCGGACGAGGTGAGCACCGTTCCTCCCAGAGCTCTCTGTCCCTGGTCCCTCTGGGCTGCGCGGTGGTCACCACAGACAGTCACCGGCAGGGCTGCACTAAGACAACAATTCACAGGGCAAGGAGTGTTCCGATCTCGTTCCTGCAAAGGAAGGCCACATTGACCCAAGCACTGACTCCTCCTCGCTGAACTTTGAATATCTCAAAATCTTACAGCAAACAAAATGAAGGGTTAAGAAAAAAAAAAACGGAAGCATTCAATTTCTGAGAGGCTGTTGCATTCAAAAATTACAAAAGCAAAGATCCTGACTAAATGCCAGTTTAACAAACAGACCTGCAAGGAGCCTGAGAGCTTCAGGTGAAACAGTTTGGAGGTGAACAGGACCCCACTGAGCTCAGAGGTGCAGACTGGAGCGCGTGTTTCAGTTTTCCGGGTGATGTGTCCAGGAGAATTCCACTGGCTATTTTTTCCTTTGTTTGTCAGCATGTATGGAAATTACTAATCATACTTTTCCACTTTGCCTCTGACTGGTAACCAGATTCTTTTTCAATGGCCTTTGTATATTTAGAAGGACACTCACTGAGAAAGCAAAAGCCATGTTCTGAAGTTAGAGCTCAAAACACCCTCTTCTGTTTTCTGTCCTTGAATATTAATTAACGGGACGTGTGTGTGTGTGTGTGTGTGTGTGTGTGTGTGCGCGCGCGCGCTTCTCGGTGGTTGGTTTTTTGTTTTTGTTATTTTGGTACTGGGGATCGAACTCAGGACCTTGCCCTTGCGAGGCAGGCGGCAGAACCACTGAGCTAGATTCCCAGCCTGCGCAGCATTTGTTGATGGCTGGGGATGTTGTTAGGCCATTTGCTAGTGGAGAAAGCAGATTAGCCTGCATGTCTGCTGAGACTGACTAGTCTTGGTTCGGAGGTTCTGGTGATGAACTGTAGACCCTTGGACTGCAAACCAGCTGCCTGAAATAGGCAACAAAGGGACCGTGGTTTCTTAGAGGATCCAGAGATGTTCATGTGCATAACAGAGAGCTTGGCTTTTGAAAAAAACGTGGAAAAGTTAGGGTCATGTCTTTGGTAAGGTGACTAATAATACCTAGTTTTTCTAATTTAGATGATATTTTCATATACTGAATTCTTACAATGTCTGCACTCATAACATCTTTTCTTCTGCTCCTTCTGTTATTTCAAACTCTAGATCAAATTAAAACTAAGAAGACAAAGTAGAGAGTTTTGTCCATTTTAAGTTAAAATATTTTTTATCTTCTACAAAGATCATTTCAGGTTTAGTGCTTTGCAAAATGAAATGTTTTGTACATATAAACCAGTGATTATTTTGATGATCCTGCAGTTTTACATAGATTTGGATGTCTGAGCCTAGCATAGGCTCAGAGACAATAATAATTACCGCTCATGTAAATTTTTAAAACACACTTCACGCACTTTGGCCCTTAGAATTTTCTCTGTATATTGATCAACTAACTATACCCTGTTTTTAAAAACCACATGATTGTTATCATGGCACTTTTGTGACTATTATATTGAAGAATTTAGCAGTGGCCTAAAAACATGACTGGAAATGAAAATATGCTATTTTGGACTCTACTGTACCCTAATTTGCAGAATAGCTTTGGTTCATGACTTACTTTTGTGGTTCTGAAACCAGCAACCTAACGGCCTGCTTAGAAGGTGGCTGTGCCCCGACGCCAGCCAGAGGCCTTGCATCTCAGATCACAAGGACACAGAGCAGTTCCAAGCCATCTCAAATTTAATTTGGATTCCCCTAAATTCCACTTGTAAGTTCGGTTTCCTGCTAGGATGAGAATCCATGGTCCCACTGTCCCAGCCACAGTGTGGGTCCCCTTGGCTGATGCTGTCTCCTTGTGCTCACCCCTGCAGTCGGCCTATGTGACCGGCCACCCGATGGTCATTGACGGAGGTTGGAGCCTGTGACCGCAGGAACCTGGGTGTGACGAAAATCCGAGATGTCCTCACTCCTGCGCTGACTGCTCGGAGGCTGGGTCTTTAAGTACATTCATCCCTTTGGAATCTCTCCTGAAATCATGCTAAGTAAATCAAAGGAAAATATTAAAGTTGTTGCAAGAGACTTGCTTTACAATAAACTTCAATTTGAAAACATCTGACTTAGTTGAGGATGCTGTAAAAATTACAAAGAGCAACAGGGCTCAGACAGCAAACTTGTGTCTCAGGGTCTGGAGGTGGGAAACGCAAGACCACTGCAGGCAGGTCCACCTTGAGTGAGACTCTTGGTTTGTGCATGGTCACCCGCCGTGCCTCCCAAGCAAGAGAAGAGCGGTGACACAGCGCTCTCTGGTCTTTGTGAGGACCCTTGTCCCCATCAGAGGCCAGTCTGGGCCCTCAGTATCTCCTGAGTCCCACCTCCCAGGGCCATCTCATGGGAGGGGGAGGGTCTCAACACTTAAATTTGGGGTGGAAACAAGCTGTCTATAGTAACATGTGAAATTAAAATGAGAATATGAAAAGGAAGGGTTTTTTTTAAGGAAAAAGGTACTAATTTGGTTCCATCTCCCAGCTATTAAATGTTTTTGTGCAATCCTGCGCTGTCCTATACTGTATGTGGAGCCTAACTTAAAAATTTCTATACCGTCATAAATGAACACCAACAGTAGGAAGGGATTTGGATTCAAGAATAAAAGCAGTTTAGGTTCAGAATTATCTATTTGATCTGTTATGTAACAGAAAACGTATTTATACATAATGGATGCTATTACATATTAAGTGCAGTGTTCTTCAGCTAACTAATGTTCAGTCAACTGAGCAATTATATCTAACATGGGCCTAAGGATACATAGTTAACTTTAGCTGCCTGTGTTGTCAGTTGATTTATTTATTTTTAGATTAAGTACAGATTTCTTTCACCAAACTCTAGGATAATAAAATAGAGGGCAGCAAATTTAGAAATGGGCACTGGATAAATAAATCATCCAACAGGAAATGAAATTTCAAGAAAAAGTTTAAATGGATGATAAATCTATGTTAGAAGTTGTCCTTTCTAATTTTAGTTTTAGGGTTTTATGCTTGCTACTTATTTTCTGCCACCTCACAAAAGCAAATGGTACAGTGCTCATGCAGCTACTTAAATAATGAGCAGTTTCTTCTGCAGTCCTCTTCTTGTTTTTTGTTTGTTTGTTTTTGTTTTTGTTTTTGCATTTCCAGGGACCAAACTCAGGACCTTGCACTTACGAGGCAGGCTCGGTGCCACTGAGCTAAATCCCAGGTCCCATCTTTGGCACTTTTTCATCCAGAGCCTTCAGACTCATGAGAATTTTGAAATGGATCATGACAAGGTAACATTTAGTGTAGGAAAAGAATATTCTGATGTTGACAGGTGTGTGAGTTAAAATTCAGAGCAAAAGACATTTTGAGAGCTTTGCTGAGGACTCACTGATTGTAAGATCTGCTCCGGGTTCTGGAGCAGGCAGTGCACAGCTAGAAGGCAGGTGGCTTGGTCTGGGACCTTGACCGGGTCGGTCTCCCGATTTCTCCTGGTTTTAGGTTCTAGTTTATGAAATTAGGCAGCTGGGCTAAGTAACTTGTTCTTCTGGTGTCTCGTGGCCTAAACACTGTAACTTCTTACCTAATGCATGAATGGGCTGCTGCAGCCTGTGAGAATATCATTTTACTCTGTGAGTAGAACAGAGTGCATTGAGATGTATGGCTATACATGAATGAATTCCAAGAGACATACAATGAATTCTGTAAAACGAATTTAACCTCAACAGATGTCCAGAGTCAGCTGGCCCAGAGCTAACCACAGAGCATTATGAACATTACAAGCAATGAAGATAAAGTGAAATCCGGCCCCCAAATTCCATGCTGTCCAAACACGTTGAATCAGGTGCTGGCTGTACTCACTGATATCATATGACTGGAAGAAAAGGAAAAACGTAGTTTAATATGGTAAGGGGAAGCGTGGTATGACGAGGAGTTTCTGCAGGATTCAGCAGCAGCAGCGTTGGGCTTAGGAAACAACCACTGCAGAGCTCTGGCAACCTGGGCAGCTCGGGAGGGAGGACCCGACGCGGGAAGGAAGGTGGGGAACTACTTCGGGAGAGACCGCGCCTGCCACGGGACGGACCCCGGTGGCACCCGCGTCAAGGAGTGACCCAGGTGAGGCGCGCCCACTCACAACGCCGCCCAGCACACACTGGCGCGGCGGGCGGGAAGGGGAGGACGCTGCAGACAGCAGTGAGAGCTCAGCGGGAAAGGAGAAACCCAAAACGACACGGGGACGGCATAAAAGCTGTGCCACGCCTGTCGTCACCCGAAGGGGACCTGCGTGGGCGGCGCCCCCGTGGGAAGACGGGACGGAGAGGCGCA